AAATAAAAAAAAAAGCTTCCTGTATTTGGGCGGATTCTTTTTCACACCATCTAGCATCTTGGCCTGCATCTTCACGTTCAGCCCCCACCCCCGAAGGAGGAGCTTTAGGGATTTTTTTTTTTTTTAGGCAACCACAAAGTCACGGGACATTCCAATATTTTAGAGGGTGGTAAGACCGTGTTTTCGGGGTTTTCTGTGCCTTCACGCGTTTCTTCCAAGGCCCTGGTTTTCGCGCGTTTCTTCCGGTGTTGGCGTTTTGAGTTCGTTTTTCCAGCGGTGTGTGTTCAATCTTCGCCATGAATTTCCTTGAATGAGCAGCATCGGTGCACGATAAGAAGAGCAGCGTTGCTTTCCTGCAACATCATGACATTTTGCATAACCAGACCAATAGACTGTCGTCTCTGCTGCCGCGGCACCAGTTGCCGCATTCCAACATCTCTCCAGATCTACTAACGTGTACAATTGTTCTGATTGTGAGCGCTTTTAACGACCCCGAAACATCTAGAACTGTCTCTAACCACAACCCGCCTACGTCCCACGAGAGAGTGCAACCTAGGTCACGACTGCATGTAGCTTAGGTCCCACGACTGCATGCAGTCTAGGTCCCACGACTGCATGCAGCCTAGGTCCCACGACTGTATGCAGCCTAGGTCCCACGACTGTATGCAGCCTAGGTCCCACGATTGTATGCAGCCTAGGTCCCACGACTGCATGCAGCCTAGGTCCCACGACTGTATGTAGTCTAGGTCCCACGACTGTATGTAGCCTAGGTCCCACGACTGTATGTAGCCTAGGTCCCACGACTGTATGCAGCCTATGACCCACTACTGTATGCAGCCTAGGTCCCACGACTGTATGCAGCCTAGGTCCCACGACTGTATGCAGCCTAGGTCCCACGACTGTATGCAGCCTAGGTCCCACGACTGTATGTAGCCTAGGTCCCACGACTGTATGCAGCCTAGGTCCCACGACTTTATGCAGCCTAGGTCCCACGACTGTATGTAGCCTAGGTCCCACGACTGTATGTAGCCTAGGTCCCACGACAGTATGTAGCCTAGGTCCCACGACTTCATGCAGCCTAGGTCCCACGACTGTATGTAGCCTAGGTCCCACGACTGTATGTAGCCTAGGTCCCACGACTGTGTGCAGCCTAGGTCCCACGACTGTATGCAGCCTAGGTCCCACGACTGCATGCATCCTAGGTCCCACGACTGTATGCAGCCTAGGTCCCGCGACATTAGGCAGCCTAGGACCCGCTACTGTATGCAGCCTAGGGCCCACTACTGTATGCAGCCTAGGGCCCACTACTGTATGCAGCCTAGGGCCCACTACTGTATGCAGCCTAGGGCCCACTACTGTATGCCGCCTAGGGCCCACTACTTTATGCAGCCTAGGACCCACTACTGTATGCAGCTTAGGTCCCACGACTGTATGCAGCTTAGGTCTCAATACTGTATGCAGCCTAGGTCTAACGATTGTATGCAGCTTATAATATAAATGTCCATGTCGTACTTGAAGTTCCAGAAGGCTATAATTATCAACATTACAAACCGAAACACTGAATCTAACGTGTAAAATTGTTCTGATTGTCAATTCGTAAACTCAGCAGTATACATCTAGAATGACTGGCCCTTTTGAGAGCCATTCCCCAAAGTGGCAAGGCATCCTGTCGCTTGCACATAGAGTTTAAAAAAAATGCAAAACTGCATCCTCTTCCCCAGCAAAAAGCTGCGTCCTCCCGATTGCACATATAGTCTACAAAACACACAAAAACACCGAATCCCCCCCCCCCTTTTCCCAGACTTGCAGAGCACACAAAATTGAAAACTGCCCAGCACCAAACTTTACGCTTAATCTACCACTCCAGGAAGCTAGCTGATCGTTTCCGGGAACACCTCTCCGATATTGACAAGAAGACACTTAATCCAATCCATCTCCATTTTAATAGCTCTGACCACAGAGGTAAAGATGACATATCTGTCACAGCAATAAAATCTTGCTCTGACGATCATTCTGTGAGCCTCGCTTTGGAAAATCTCATCCACAGCTTAGGCGTTCTTAGTCCAGGTGGTTTCAGGTTTCAATATCCAACATACCTTCATCTAAATAGTTCTACTCTTATCACATTTTAAATGTTAACTATTTTCTTTTCTTTTCTTTTATTTCATATTATTACTTTATTCTATTTCTTATCAGTATCATTTATGTATCATTAACATTTTTATTCCTAGTATTATATTATATATTAACAATACTACAATTTTTTATTTTTTTGTGTGACTATATTTTTTAACCATCGTTTGTTTTATTTTATTTCATTTATTCCACACTATATTTTTTTAAACGTTGCTCACGTCACCCCTTAGAGATATACATACTATCCTCTCCTCGTTGTTACGTTTGTGTAGTTCACTTTTGTTTGAAAAAGGCTGCCAGACCGAAACGTTACGTTGTGTTGTTTTGTTCACGTTTTTCTGCTTCCCCATTTTGTTGAGTTTTTAGTCACATTTCTCTGGAATTCCTTGTATAAGCTTGACTGCAGTCACCCCCATATTTTCACCTAAAATATTAGACTGTCCCGTGACCTGCGGATTTTCCCTGTTCGTGGTCGCCTTAAAATAAAGAACCGCTTTGGACTATAATTGTGACTGATCCAGATACTTTCCTAACCATCAACGAAGTCGTCTACCGGCAAGACAATAGGCTACTCGGTCGCCAATGCACCAAGTAAGCATCAAAGAAACCGAAGGCTAATCTTCACTGGAGCGGTGTTTCAGATTTTTACCCGGGTCCTATTTTTTGTAAACACGGAAACTTCCGGCCGTGTAGAATTGAAAGTTTTGGAAATCCAGGTTTAGGGATATGTGGTACTTTTAAATTTTAGAGTTTGTACGTATTTGTGATTTAATGAAACGATAATTTTCATTTGTTTTTTTAATTTCATTTTACCAATGCAGGTACAGAGTTCAAATTCTTGAATTTGATCTATATACTTATATAGTAAGTTAGTTTGAGGTTGAGTTGGTGATGACAGATGTCTCACAGCTCACTGTTGTTATCTGAATATACACTGATACACTGTCACTCAGGTTAACCCTGGACTGGCGGAGATGAGTTCTGCATGACCAGCCTCTGTAATTACTTACTGTACAGCGACAGGCACGAACGTTGGAAGAACACAAATATCCTTAATAATACTTTTGCCCGTGGACTTAATTTGCACACACACATACACACAAACAAATTATAAAAAAATAAATCATTGGCTATCCTCCGAATAACGGGCGGTAAAGATGGCGGCCGCAAAATATCCTGATGAGCCACAGTCACATGTCAATTGCGCACTAGCGCAAAACTAATGGTATAACTCTTCATTGTAGCTGAATGCTAATATTAATCCTTATCCATTTATGTTCATTTTCATGTATGATATGTGTATGTTGCACATCAGCTGCAGTTGTGTGGTTTGTTTTAAAGTGCTGCACTTGTTAAAAGTCAAAATCATATCCCCACCCCCGGCCTCTGATGCAGAAACCCCTAGGACTCAAAGAGTTAAAAAAAAAAAAAAATTAAATTAAAAAACAAACTAGTTCTGCTTCAGTCTTACCCTGTCATTTCTTTCCTACTCACTATCTGCAGAGACTAATGGAACAAACATAATATCCATAGTTGGCTAGACTTAGTTTATTTGAAGGTAGCAGAAGAAGTGGACATGGGTCATGTTTAGAGTACAAGATGGACATTCACCTTCAGATTGCTAGTGGCCCCAGTAGCAGAGGAAGTGGACCTGGGTCATGTTTAGGGTACAGGATGGACATTCACCTTCAGGTTGCTAGTGGCCCTAGTAGCAGAGGAAGTGGACATGGGTCATGTTTAGGGTACAGGATGGACATTCACCTTCAGGTTGCTAGTCGCCCCAGTAGCAGAGGAAGTGGATATGGGTCATGTTTAGGGTACAAGATGGACATTCACCTTTAGGTTGCTAGTGGCCCCAGTAGCAGAGGAAGTGGACATGGGTCATGTTTAGGGTACAAGATGGACATTCACCTTTAGGTTGCTTGTGGCCCTAGTAGCAGAGGAAGTGGACATGGGTCATGTTTAGGGTACAAGATGGACATTCACCTTCAGGTTGCTTGTGGCCCTAGTAGCAGAGGAAGTGGACATGGGTCATGTTTAGAGTACAAGATGGACATTCACCTTCAGGTTGCTTGTGGCCCTAGTAGCAGAGGAAGTGGACATGGGTCATGTTTAGGGTACAAGATGGACATTCACCTTTAGGTTGCTTGTGGCCCTAGTAGCAGAGGAAGTGGACATGGGTCATGTTTAGGGTACAAGATGGACGTTCACCTTCAGGTTGCTAGTGGCCCCAGTAGCAGAGGAAGTGGACATGGGTCATGTTTAGGGTACAAGATGGACATTCACCTTCAGGTTGCTAGTGGCCCTAGTAGCAGAGGAAGTGGACATGGGTCATGTTTAGAGTACAAGATGGACATTCACCTTCAGGTTGCTTGTGGCCCTAGTAGCAGGGAAAGGTTTTGCTGGCCAGCCAAGTAGAACACAGTGCACATGTGGGCATGTTCCAGACACAATAATGTCTGTTGTTGAATGATTCATTCACATGTTTGTTCCTACTCATTCACTACATTCTTCATCTGACTCTAAATTGTTTTCTTTGCGTTGAATACAAATTAAAGGACAACACAAATTTTGGATATGAAGAGAACACATTGTAAGATACATTTAAAAAAAAATTCTGATAGATTTATGTTTACAGACGTGTGAACGCTATTCTGAGATTCAGATGCTCAGTTGTGTTATTGTTTTGAAAGATTTACACCATGCAGTTACACACATACTAGCTCTATGGTATATTCTTGAATGTTCCAGATTGATGTGCTATCCAACTTCAGTAAACTTATTTTATATATATATATCTATGTTTTCTTCTTTTGCCGAACAGAACTTTCCTGACGAGTGAGCACCAACAGTGCATAGAAATTATGGCTCAGCAAAGGGCATCTGTTACTCCTGAATCAACATTCCCACCTCTAAGAGACAATGTTTTTGGCTCTGGATTGGGGACTAATACACAGAGTACAAATTTGTTTGCAGGGCAGTCTAATCAAGCTTTCCGAATGTTTGAAAGGGGACAAAGTGGGACAGCAGCTTTAGCACCTAATTCTACTGGAACTTCTTCTCATGTATTTGGGGGGAACTTTGCTTTTGCTTCTGCAGCACCATTGGGACAGAGTGGACAGACAGCTAATATTACCACCAACCCAACTTCACAGTTGTTCAGTTCTTCTGCTCCACCATTGGGACAGAGTGGACAGACAGCACGTTTGACCACCAACCCAACTTCACAGTTGTTTGGTTCTTCTGCTCCACCACTGGGACAGAGTGGGCAGACAGCACATTTGACCACCAACCCAACTTCACAGTTGTTCGGTTCTTCTGCTCCACCATTGGCACAGAGTGGACAGACAGCACATTTGACCACCAACCCAACTTCACAGTTGTTTTCCTCTTCTGGTTCTCAGTCTGCAGCTAATGTATTTGGGTCCAGTCAGTCTTCATTGCTTTTCACCGGAAGTCATGAGTCTTCCCAGCCTATACCTGCTGGAATCTCTTTACCTGCAGGATCGTTTTCATTTACTCCTCCTGTCTTCTCTGTGAACCAACGACAGCAGTCTAGTGGAAATATTGACACTTTTTCTAATAATAACCCTTTGGGTTCTAGTAATTTTGCAAGTTCCAGTGCTATGGGAACAGCTGCAGGGTCAACATTGTTGTCATCAACTGGAATTAGAAAAAGGGATTCAAGCGGAGCTGTGAATGACAATTCTTTGTTTGGGAAGCAAGATAAAAGGTCAGACCCATCTGAAGCCGCTGCTAAACCTGTGTTTGCTTTGACACATGATGTTCACCCACCTACGAGAACTCCACTGTTTAGTAATGCTGTATCGTCTACGTCGCAAACAGGAACAGCTTTTTCAGGATTTCAGCAGTCAAGAGAGACCGTTTCATTTAGAGAGAAATTTTCGGACATTACCAGAGAAGAAAATGCTGGCAAAGGGACAGTACTGTTTGGTAAATCTTCATCAGAGGTTAATTTGAGAACAAGTGCACCACTACAAAATGTGGGATCAATGTTTCAGCTGGGTCGATCTACAGAAAACAATACAACTAATAACCAGACATCTTTATTGCAACCTTCTATAATCCCTACAGCTAGCACATCAAATGAGAATTTCTCAGGCTTTGGGACAAACACATTTTTGTTCAGAGACCCTAAGAATTCTGCCTCCACCCTGATGCAGGAGGACAGTTCTGTTGGCTTGTTTAAAAGACCTGAAGTTGAATCTTTAGATCAAAGTAAGCGGGCTTTGTTTGGGAAACCAACACAGCCAAGTGGAGCAGCACTCTTTGGGAAACCTTTAACATCTTCTACAGAGTCATTTGGCACAGAGGATGCCTTTGAAAATTCTGATTGCTCAGGTATATATGTAAATGTGTATTTGTTAATCTATTTGTAAAACTACAAGAATAAGTTATTACAGTAAAACGCTTTCATTAAATGTCAGAGAATACCGAAATGTCATTTTGTGACTGCTCTATTATGGCAGTGAACCTTGTAATAGGTAATGGGTCAGGTAGGTGATATATTCATCCATTCTTGATCAGACAGCACCCTCTACAATGCTGACTGTATACTGAAACCCAAGCCGTGATAAGGGAGGTAATCATCAGAGAGATGCTCTTTGCTGAGAAGATGCGATTATAACCCACTAAGATAAGAAAATGCAACATTTACTATTTGCATTTTTAGACGTTATGTGAATTTGAACTAACAGTTCCCCTGTGGGTTCCGGGGTCCCATTGTGGGGAAAACAAGAATAGACCCACTTCCTCCCCAACAAGCATGTCATAGAAGTCGACTAACTGAGGGCTTTTTCCCAAAGTCGGAGTGCATCTGCCTGAGAGGCAAGGAACCAACAATCTGAGTACAATTAAGTCAGACCTATTAAGCGGATGTGCACCAACACTCAGGTTCTGAAACAAGACTTAAGTCCAGAGAATGACAAACAACCAGACCTTTCCGCTATAGTTTACAGCCAGTGAACGTGAAAAAGAAGAAGGACTAACAGTCAGGAAAAAAGGAAGACAAAGATAATGGTGCAAGGTCCTAATGATTGACCAACAGTCTTTTTGTGTGTGTATGTGTGTGGTTAAAAGCTGGAGACAGTTCATTAAATTTACACCAAACTATGGTTTATTTATATAATGTTAGAAAAGAAGTGGGGTCGCACACGCTAGAGGCGCATGATGATGATAGTTTTTTTTTCATTAGGACAGATTACTGCATAACATCTGGAACAGTCACTATTAGAAATATATCATCACATTTTGTGCCTCCAGTTGATTCCTCCTTTCCTTTCTACCCTGTGAACAATATTTGTAAAAATTTTGTTTGCAATCTAGTGGCTAGACTGACCTGCTTATCTGAAGGTCAGGGGTTCATCTCCTGATAGAGCTGGATTTTTTGAACAAATGACCTTGCCTCCCATATCTTCTTCTTATTCTTCTTCTTCTTCTTCTTCTTCTTCTTCTTTGCATTAACACTCTGGCAGAAAGTTCTGGGAGTTTTTCCGCCACAGAATTTTAGTCTTGTTCCAGAAGCTGTGTGGTATGTGCACATCTGTTTCACACATCTGGCTTATTTGTATGCAGACTCTTGTTTCCTTGTCGATCCTCTCAACTTTGAATCTTTACACCTTTTATCTGTGATAATGATTACAACATTATACGTGATATCAGTTTACAACCATCTCTTGAGCCTTCCTGATATTTGTTGCACTATCAGTCTAGCTCTTTGGCTTGGAGGTTAGTGTGTGAGCATGTACTAGTGTTCAATTTTCCGGGTGAATGGTTTAGAAAAACACCATTCTCATAGCTTCTGGACAGTAGTACACGAGTTGCACCATGTACGATTTTGGGCCTGACTACTAAATTTTCCCCAGGACAGCACAACCACTGCAAGCAATCTCCATTGTGAAAGCACTTTAAATGTTTAAAGTAAAAGTGAGAATACTTGCAGATATGGTATTTTACCTCTAACGATTTGAGGAGTTGATAACAATGTCCAATATCATGATCTTAAAGATGGTACCCATGTGCTTCACCAGGCTACTTTCCAATGTCATGTAATCTAGTTAGTGCAAGAGATTCATCATCAACTGCTAGTTAAGTCTGTATTGTTTATGGTATCAGCTCTGCTCATGTTTTTGTCAGTTGGTCCTCTGATTTATTACTTTTTATTCCGGCATGTACAGATGTGTAGATCCAGGTGAGGGAGGCTAAGTGCGATTTCTGAATACTGTCCAACCATTCATAGTGAAAGCTACCTGTTGTGATTTTCAAAAGTCCATATTCTATTTGCAAATATGTTTCTAGCAGATAGAAATGTCAAGACCCTATCAAAATGGAGTCGTGGGAAAGAAATATCGCATGCTGACAGAAAAAGAAAAGAGCCGGACTTACCAGCAGAGACTTCAAGTAAGAAGTGACATTTTGTTTCAGCAAGCAATTTCTTATCGTAACTGTTGCCACGCCGTCTGTCAACAGCAAACATAAATCCTTACCAGCACAGTGTGTTGACTGTACTAGCCATGCAAGTGTCGCGAGGCTGTGATGTAGATTCTTAATTCAGCTTTCGACATTTTATGCCACACCACCATAATTCTTCTGCGTTTGCATTTAAAAGTGCGGTTGACATGTTGTGTTGTGGTTTACAGCTAGGCTGTGGTATTTGCACCTTTCAACCCCATATGTATCTGATCTCAGCTAACTCTTAACCCTTTTAGCACGGGAAGTTTTTCAGAGGTCTAGCCAAAAACACGGAGCATTTTTTCAGTGAATTTGGTTATTACTTTATTTAATTTTTTTGACAGATTTCTGTTATTCTGACCCCTATGAAATAATATATCTATTTGAAGGATTTAGATTGAAGTTCGTGATTTTCACAATATCGTTAAAATTAATTGATGTATATGCAAATTTTCTCATTTGCATATCTAAAAATAGAAAATATGAATTTGAATTTTCAACTTCAATGCTTGAAACATAAAACTAAAAACTAAAATTTTTTTTATTTGAAATATTTTTATTTGCCTTTTTACAAATGTTGTAAGCAATTCAAAAGTCAAAAACAGGTATATATATGTGAAACAGCAATAATATCTTTAGGTGACATATGCTTTTCACCATCAGTCAGCACTAGAAATGGATGTGCCAGAGTGTCAACACCTTCGGGTGGATATACCCTGAGCCATGGTTGGGCTGTGGTCTAAACACAACAGCGTCCCCATCTGATTCCCACTATTACTACTAACACTAAATCAGTATCAACAGAATTAGTGTCATCACTTGATTCAAATGTTTTATCAACATCAAGTTTAGGGGCAGAAACATACGAGTCAGACATACTTTTAGCGGTTCAGGTCACTATCTAAAAAATTCAACAACAATTTTCACTTCGATACCAAACACTCGAAAGTCGCCATGTGTAAAGCTGATACCGCAGTTAATATAAATGAATCACTTTCAGTGTTTCAAAGTAGGAGATTTCTTAGCGGTTCGAGGCGAAACACGATCGGGCCGATCATCGGCCGTTCCGTGTTTTTAGCCAGACATCCTCCGGCCGATAATCGGCCCGTCCGTGCTAAGAGGGTTAATTAGTTACCTTATGTTTCAGGCTTGTTAGTGTCAGTGGGTCTGTTTTCCTCCCACCAGAATGCGGTCCCGGAACCAACACAAGAAATTTATGATGTGATCATTAGGGTGAGCCATATAGCTCAGCAGCTTGGCAGTTTCTTGCCAATCCCAAAAATCATTTGTTACAATCTGTGTCTAGTAAAGTAGAGAACCTTTTACACACCAATACTGCATCACGCATATGGTACTAGACTTATAGTTTTATAGACCAATCAGCCTTTGGTGGGTGATGTGGTCGACACCACACCGGCCCGCTTGACTTCCCAGGACATAACCTGGTTCTCATTTTTGACTGGGTCGACCTGAGATCCAAGGTCGTTTAAAAAAAAACAAAAAAAAACTGGTGCTGATTTCATTTGTAAAAAATAAATTCCGCCCTGTGTAGATTTGAATCCAGTACCTGAAGACCAGCAGGAAAGCATCTCGCCACTTTGCTACCATGCCTTAAAGCCCATGTCTAGGTAGATTTGTTTAATGTCTAGGTAGAATTGTATAATGTCTGGGTAGATTTGTATAATGTCTAGGTAGATTTGTATAATGTCTAGGTAGAATTGTATAATGTCTGGGTAGATTTGTATAATGTCTAGGTAGATTTGTATAATGTCTAGGTAGAATTGTATAATGTCTGGGTAGATTTGTATAATGTCTAGGTAGATTTGAATAATGTCTGGGTAGATTTGTATAATGTCTAGGTAGAATTGTATAATGTCTGGGTAGATTTGTGATTTGTATAATGTCTAGGTAGATTTGTATAATGTCTAGATAGATTTGTATAACTGACCTGCACTCTGGTCTGAAGTGGATACCAGGGAATGGTATAAGAAGCATCACTGAGTGGGTTCCGGAACCCCATTTCAAGGGGGGGGGGGGATTGACCCACTGCCTCCCTAACAAGTGTGTCATAAAATTTGACTAATTAGGGGTATTTCTCCTCAGAGTTGGAGTTCATCTTCCAGAGAGGCGAGGAATCAACAGTCTGCATAAAAATGTGGTAGATTTGTAAAACTGATGTGCACACAAAACTCAGGTTCTGGAAGAAGACTAAAGTCCAAAATGATCTTGTTATTTTTTTTAAAAGTTAGCTCTGTTGTTTTGCCTGTTGAGTTGTATATTCACAGTTTGTACTGTATGTAGTTTTCCGTTGATAAAGACTTTGGTAAAAATGTTCGGTGGTGTTTGTGCGCGTCTTTTCCATTCCCTCCATTGCGCATTTCTAGTCCTATTTTGTGTTATATTTAGCATTTCTTGCAATCAGCTCGACTGCAGTCACCCCCTGTAAACATATGCACCATATGCCTCATGTTCCAACAGCATAAAAACGGTTCTTTACTTTTACTTGGCATACTTTCATCATCATAACGTGCTTTGCTGACTAGGAGCATCGATCATTCTTAAAAGATGGCTAACACTTTCTGAATTTTGAGATATTATTATAACACTTCTAATTCTCTTTGTTTAGATGTACATTCTATTTATTTGTACATGAAATAATTTTTAGAGAAGGATTTTAACGTTTGCTCTTTTATTTGGTTAATTTACTGTGAGATTTACTAGACTGTCCCAGTGAATTTCCAACAACAAAATTAAACTTAAAATAGCTGTGGTTAAAAAATGTATTGCAAATTCTTTGTTGATATAGTTTGTGAACCTGCGTGGGTTCCTGGACCCCATCTGGGGGGGAAAAAAGAATAGACCCGCTGCTAAAGGTAATCAAAAGTACCTAATTAAGATTTGCTGAAATATGATGTGTTGGGCCGATAGCACAGAAATCACAATCTAGTTGTAAACCTTGTGAAATCACAAGGAGGTCTAAAAATCTATAAGGGACAAAGAAATATAATGAGAATAAATCAGGCAAATAGTAATGTGGTTTCTTTTAATGGTATCCCATTACAGGATGTTGAGTCATACACCCATTTGGGTAGTAATGTAGATCTAGATGGGAGAACTGATAAAGATATTAAAATACGAATACAGAAGGCAAGAAAAGCTTTAATTGCACTTGAAAATTTGTTGAGGTCAAAAGAAATTAAAATTAATACTAAACTCAAATTTTTTAATTTTTATGTCAATCCAGTACTGCTGTATGCAGCGGAAACATGGAGAAAAACTAAAACAGTTATTAATAAACTATAAATGTTAAATTAACTGGTGCATGCGGCAAAAAAGACAGAACTAAATGGTATGACGGAATCACTAATGTTCTGCTTTGGGAGATAAAACAAGTTCCAGGGGATCAAGAGTTGAAGAAAAGATACTAGTGTTGGATAGGACACAGACTGAGAAAACCTGAGAACAGTGTGACTGGAATGTCTTTGTACTGGAACCCAAAGGGGCACAGAAATAAAGGCAGACCAAAAATATATGCAGAAGGGAGCTAGGGGTCAAGTTAAAAAGATGGGGAGGACATGGGGAGAGCTGCATACAGTAGTAAAGGATAGGATGACTTGGCTTGAGTTGGTTGAGGGCCTATGCTCCATTGGGGGATAAAATGATTAGAAGTTGTGAACCAGAATTTGGAATGGATGTAATTGTATGAATAGTTTAAGAATCAGTATCACAGCACTTGAGACATGCTTACACATCCTCATTCACCTTAATCAGTAGCCAACAAAATGGTTCCCTACTGTGAAAACCTGATTAAAAGTCTTCCTTTTCTCCTTCATAGTGTCTTCCAGACCATGTACTGTCTTTCTGCTGCATGAAACCAAGATTATTAATGATAAACATTATCAGTTAAGTTTTTCCCCTTTTGTGGAGAACTAATTGGTGACTAATTAGTGGTGTTTTCTACACACAGCCAGTGAACACAGCGAAGAAGAAGAAGTTTGGTAATATTTTGTCTTATTACAATTGTCGATGCATGGTAATGGGATTAATTGAAGGCATTAAGATATGACATTGCACACTTCTATTTTACACCAGGAGACAAGAAATCCAAGGTTTCTGATGGTAAGATAAAATTTTCTGTATATTTAAATAATATTACTGATAAATCTTAAGAGTGGCTGGTTGAGTGATTAAGAATGCTGAGTTCAGGGGACCCAGGTTTGAATCATCTGTAAGATGAATTTTTTCTGTTGGGTGGGGGGGGGGCACTTATTTAATCTGTACCTGCACAGTTCATGGATGACCAAACAGCCATAACTTTCTACTGGAGTGTACAGCTGGTGAACGCAAAGAAGAAGATATTGACCTCTCCACCTGTTGAATATCGATTTGTTTCCTAAAATATGAAACTAGATGCCTATACTCAGTATGCGTCAAGGCATAGAATAAGATCCTATAGGATCCTTTCTTCTGATAGTCCCTGCTATGTGGTGTTGGTAATCCTACCTGTCCACGGCCTTTTATCCTGTGTACTTCAGTGGCTACCAGATGGGTACCAGATACAGTACTGGGAAGTAAAGGCGACCAGCGTGATGTTGACAGCATCACATACTGATTGCCAATTGGTCTATAAAATATAGGTGTAGCCCTATATGCCCAGTGCACCTGAAGAATGGAAAAGGCCCTTTACTTTTAATTCAGCCATTTCTAACAGAAATGTTCTTTGAAGCAAGGATGTCAGACTGTCCAGTATCTTGGTTTCCCTTCTGCCTTAGCTTGTCTTCTACTTATTTTACCATAAACAATTCATCTTCATCTCCATGATGCTTACATTAGCAAGTTCGACACTTTTGTGGTGGCCAGGGAAAAAAAACACGCTTTGAGAACATGCTAAAGGCATCAATTAAAGCCTTTAAAACTCTTTCAGGCCCATGAATTTTGTCAGACTTGGCCCTCAATAATTTCTCTTCACAAAAATGGCAGAGGGGGTAGTGTACAAACAAGGCAGTAGAGAATGTAATTTACTTCCAATACTTACATATAAGTATATATTTGTAAAGAGAAATGAATGTACATTTTTAATATGATGATAAGTGTATGTTTAATGCTGTTTTAGTTAGTAAGACAGAAATAATTCAGCAGGTTTTTATTTTCTCAACAGCATAATTTTCCCCCCAAAATTTATTCTTTGTACAAGAGTAGTGAATATCCAAACATGAGAACAAAACTTCAAAGTTTGTTCAGTTTCCTAACAAATTCCAAAGTTATGAAAAGTTTCTGGGTTAGTTTAGCACTCAGGGGCTCTTAGTTCTCACAGAGTGCTGAGCAAAATTTCAGAGAGAAAAATGGGCCATTACACACACACTATTTACTGTTTACTTTGCACAGTTATATACAGACTGAAGCCGCAATGATTTCAATGTAGCTTAGCCATAGTAAAGTGCTGTCTATTTGTTTGGAGCACTTTCCTTCTCTTACACCCTAAATACTGTAGCAATGGAACATTCTTTGTGTAAACTCATCAAATTTTTATTATCAGAAATATAAACATCCGACTTAAACAGTTTCTGAGTTTCGGCCACAGAAATAAGCATTTTGCGGCCTGTACTTGTGCTTGGAATATTAGTATCGATGGCACTCGAAAACTTAGAAAATGCACTGTTTAGCGTTAGCTATGAATCGGATCAATGTGCCCACGTGTTTTGGAATGGAATTTAATTCAAAGGAAAATGTTAGAGTAACCTTCCCTTAATACTTTAATGGTAGTTCTAAACAATAGAAACAATATGGAGCCGTGTGCAAAGCAATATGTACAGGACACACGATCAACACTGACAGTGTTGTTTGGGCAAAGCGGAACTTCTCAATCAACACTCACAGTGTTGCTTGGGCCTTAAAGAGTTAATATAAACTCTGAAACCTGGGAGGCTGCTGCACATGACGGAAGTATGTGGTGGACGACAATCTGAAGAAGCGCAGCAACTTGCGAGGCATCTAGAAAAAGGGCAGCTGAACAGGGAAGTCAGGCTAGAAAGACTTGTTTAATGAGCCTTCTACCTACAAACACTGATCTGCTTCTATTGGGCTAGATACTTCTGGGCCCATTTTGGGCTTATAAGTCATCTCTGGACTCGCAAACAACTGCAGTTTATTGACTGATGGAAGAAAGAATGATCATCATCACTTGTGATGGGTGAAAAACAGTAAGCTTACATTATGGAAAAAAATATAAGTTAAATCAGATATTATTTCAGAAAGTAATTTTTGTGGTGTTATAATCCCCAGGAGAAAAGTTACCGTCACCAACTTCGCCACGTGCCAGATTGTCATCATCCCGATCATCATTGGATGACCAGGTCATAAGGAACTCTATCGTAGTCAGAGACATTCCAGCACACCTTAACAGAGGCCCAGTTCTCCGCAAACACTTCTCGTCTTTTGGGACTATCATCAGATTACAAACTCTAGCCACCAAGCGAGCAGCAAATATTACTTTCAAAACTCAAGTACGACCTTTTTTATTTAATTCTTTTTGTTTCACCTAGTTGTTATTTTTAACTCTTTCAGTACCAAGCAACACACTGCATTTATTAGTTTCTGCTGACTCTTTCTGAATGTGGAAATAAAAATAATGTCCACAATAAATATAGCACATTAACAGCGTATAAGCATTTGTAACGAAGACATAAAAAAATTATACAGATTTTAAATATTTAGGCTTATTGTGAACAGTGACGACTGCTCAAAAGAAGTCAGAACATATATGTGCATTAACAGCAGAGAGACTAAACAGTATAAAGAACCTATGGCACAACAACTGCAAGTGAGTTGAAGTAAAGCATTTTGAGATCATGCATCTTTCTCAACTTATGGATGGGAGCCATGAACTCTTACTCAGGTGTTGAGGAAGAAACAAATCAGAGCTTTTGAACTGAAAATACTACAGACGTCCCATTTCCTTTGTGCTAAATTGTGTTGTTGTTGTTTTTTTTTTTTTTGCCTTACAGCTTGGCTAGATGTTTTTCACTCCTGCTTTTATACAAATAATCTTATTTTTGAGATATTGTAGATTGTATATTCATTGTGTCTGCAAGAAGTCACCCTATCTTAATTGCTACATTTATAAACTTGTAGATGGACAATAATCTATAACATAATTTTCTTCAGGAAGAAGCATTGGCAGCAAAAAACGAGGGCAAGTATCTGGTTCCAGAAGGCCCACCTGTGTCCATATTTTTAAGATCCATTTCAAAAACTAAGTCTCCAGATGAAAAACAGACTCACTTTCGAGAATGTAAGCATCATTTGTCATTATCCGGTAACAGGCCATAACTGCATTATTGTGTAGCAGTTTATAGATTACATTCTTTTCAAGTTTGGTGATAGTACGATTGGTGACTAACAATACCCTAGCATTCAAAGACCAGGTTAAGACCAGGATTGTACTTCATTCCCCGATGACTTGCCAGGTGATAACTCGCTGTTCTGTGCGAATCAAGGTTAGAAGAACAACACGTTTATAAGATGGAGAAGTACACTGAACTGATCACCAGTCTGAGAATGGTGGAAGGGTACACAGCACAACTCTTCACCGTCAAGGTAGGTGCACCTGATCACCAGTCTGAGAATGGTGGGAGGGTACACAGCACAACTCTTCACCATCGAGGTAGGTGCACCTGATCACCAGTCTGAGAATGGTGGAAGGGTACACAGCACAACTCTTCACCATCAAGGTAGGTGCACCTGATCACCAGTCTGAGAATGGTGGAAGGGTACACAGCACAACTCTTCACCATCGAGGTAGGTGCACCTGATCACCAGTCTGAGAATGGTGGAAGGGTACACAGCACAACTCTTCACCATCAAGGTATGTGCAAGAGGGCTGGTTTCCAAGTCAGTGTATGATGCATTTAAACAACGAGGGCTGCATGGGCCAAGCAAAAGTACAGGTACTGAAACAGCTGGACGAAGCCGCAGAGAAAGCTCCTCTGGCTGGCTGTGGAATAAACGCAACGATACAGGGTTTCCTTACAACTTCAGCAATCAAGCCCAGGTCTCAAGACAAGCGTTCTCAATGTACCAAACGACATTAAGTATGACAGGTTCTTATGGAAACCAGCAAACTAACTGTCCATGGTTGTGATGATCATGATGGGATGAGTGTAAACATCGGCAAACTTAGTGTTATCGTCAAGACTCAAGTGCAACAGGAGAACGAGACATGGGAGTCGCTACCTGGGAGAGTGTCAGGAAGACTCCTGTTTTGCTCGCTCCTCTGGGGGAGTTTCTACTACGCACCAGTAGATACAATTGATAACAGTAGAAGCATATGGTTACCAGTAAACGCGTATGGTTACCAGTAGAAGCTTATGGTTACCAGTAGAAACGTATGGTTATTAATAGAAGCATATGGTTACCAGTAGAAGCATTTGGTTACCAATAGAAGCACATGGGTACCAGGAGAAGCATATGGTTACTCGCAGAAGTATATGGTTACCTGAAGAAGAAAATGAATACCAGATGAAGTGCATATCAGATTTCTAAAGCAGCTGGAGTGTATACCGTTTTGTGTGGTGGAATTTGTGTGTATATGCATTAGAGCTGTACTGAATAGGTGATTACAATAAAATATAATCTAAAAACATTTTTAATGTCAAATGTACACTGAACTTCACAAAATGTAGTAAACATTTAAAAACATTTTATTTTTGCATCCTTCAGTCAGTCTGTGGTAACTATTAACTAGGAATGAAAGTATTCTTAGTATTATAACAAGTAACTAAACTTGTAAATTGTCACTGACAGCTTAGTTAATGCAGGAAAGCTGCATTAGCTTTTAACCCTTTCGCTGCTACGTTCCCGGAAATAGTTGTCCTCCCTGTGCTAAGCAATGTGAAAAAAAAAGTCTCTGCTGTGCGCAATACTTTTCTATCCTCTAAACGCAAAAGATGCATCCGCGGTGAGGGCTATGTTTTGTACACCTAAAAAATTGTACCCTGGGGAGTTGTGTGGTTGGTCCGAGTGGTGACAAGTCAGAGGCTCGATAGTGCCCCACAAACTTGACTAAAGGAGCTCGGGGGGGGGGGGGGGGGGGGGGGGGGGGGGGGGGGGGGGGGGGGGGGGGGGGGTTAATGGCAGGAACTGTTCCCAGTCCGTATCCCAAAATTTGATTGACGAACCTACCACGGCTGCCACTTTAATCATATTTACTTGTAGTCACCATGTTATTACATACCAAAATAATTTTAAAAAAAATATTCATAATAATACTCAAGTCGTCCGTTGCTGAAAAGTAGCAGGAACTCAAAGGAAAATTTACAATCAATTAAAAAAAAAAAACTTCGGGGGTTGAACACACGACCCTCCGATTCTAAGGCGAACGTGATACCAATTACACTATGCTACCGCTTGACGCATTGCGCTGTGTAAATGATCATAATGAATGATGTGCGCAGACTATCAATAATGTGTCTAAGTTTGTAGTCTATCGCCGCCTGCATGAGCACTGTTGTCTAAGAAATGTTTGAGATTCTCAACAATAGTAAAAATATGTCCCTCGACATTATTTTACGGGAGTTTTTAGCAAACAGTCTTTGCTCAAGTAATCTATTTTGAGTTTCTTTGTTCTAAGCATTAGCAGACAGACAGAAAAAAAAATTAGTTCGTCCGAATCTGTGTCTGTCCATCGGGAAAGACGAGAAATTTTAGTGACTTAACTGTTTGAATTTACAGTAGCAGAAATACAGATAGAGCTGGAGTCATCAAAATCATGCACTACTGGTTTCAAATCATCGGTTCATCAAGATAACTGATCAATTTATTGCCGTTTTGATGGCGCTTCATTGTCGCTGCTCTCTGATTCCGACGATGAGGACGTCGGACAGGCAAACAGCTTTTTTTGGATACGCCGGTTTTAGCAGTCGATACTGATGGCCTAGTCAAATCTTCTTGTTCTCTGTCAGAAGTATACATTTCAAAGTCATCGTCGCTATCACTTTTGACAGAAACTCCATCAATTCTTCATCAACTTTAACAAGTTTTCTTGCCATTTTGTACTAAGTGTAGAATAATCCAAAAGCACAAATATATATCAGGGCACAAAATACACAGATCACCGACCACGCTGTCACGGTAAACAAAGCAACGGGATAACGCAAAATGCAGTAAACACGCCTTAAACACACCTAAAAGTACGTGCCAGTGCTTTTAATCATTTGTAAATGGGTCAGTTTAATTTAAATATAGCTAATGTATATTGCTCTTCAGCCAATAAAATACGAGGTAACAGAAATCTGTAAGAAAAGTCCAAAAACGGCTTGGGACGTCCATAGCACTGGGGGTCAAGAAAAAAAATAACGTCCAAAGACGGGCGTAGCAGCGTACGGGAAATCGGGAAAAGACGTCCATAGCAGCGAAAGGGTTAACATAACCAATCATTCCATGTTGTCAGCATTAAGGCAGTGTATGCAGAAGCGGGTGAAAGGTAACCACTATTCGTGTTCGGCCCGACCGCAAGTATTCGGCCAAATACTGAATAGTTATAGCTCCACTATTCGGCCCCGAAGCAAATACAAAGCGAATGTTCGGCACAGCTTTTATATGCATGCATATGTGGTTTGTAGCATATAGCAGCATATCTGTTACAAAATATTGTAAACACTTACCCTAACATTTATTACGGTTTGTAGTTTTACTTGGTAATTTTATGTTCAGTAGTTTGCTTTCTGAACATTGTCAAAATCATTGTGGATTGGTCTGAAATGAATAATTTCTGAAACAATACTTCTCATAACATTTAAACCAAAAAAAAAAAGCTAATTGTATATGTGTGTGTGTGTAGATCTTTTAATGTCTACATTCAGTCTGGTCTCTGGCCTGTTCTAATTAATTTGTTTTCAAGTTTTTTTGTTGGTGTGTCCAATAATTTAATTTTTACTGTTTCTGATAACCAGATCAGAAGCGGTCAGATCAGCCAAGGTCGAAACCGGTTCCAGGAAGTGTAGAGGATGAATTAGCCAGCATGGCAGAAGTTGCCGACTTTCAGGTAATTTCCCTGTAATGGGCAGACTCATTTCATTATTTTTTTTAACGATTTCTATTTTTAAAAAAACCAAACCCTATAATGTGTGCTGTAATCTGAAATTGTCGTCTTTCGATGAGTCTATAAAAATCTTTTACTTCATGACCGACTTCCTTAGTTATGTTATCTAAATCAATGTCGCTGCACATTGGGGATTCCCATGCGTGCTAAATTTAATGATGCAGCAGCCACTCCAAAGTACTTCTACTAATTGTTCCCTTGAGAAGCTGGTTATATTTTCTTCTACCTCGGCTTCGAAGACGGCATAGATGTGCTTCACCATGCTTTACTCTCATGTCACGCAATCGTGTTATTGTCAGGGATTCCTCATTATCCACTAGCCCAGTCCGTACAGCGTTGACGATATCTGCTCTGTCCATGCTTCTTCCCACATGCTTTAGTGCAATGCTTGCCAGTTAATATGTTAGCTCATTTTCCTTTACGCCCACATGACCAGGTGTGTAGATCCAGGTGAGGGAGGTTAAGTCCGATTTTCGAATGCTGGTACAGAGGACATCACGGAAGTATAGAATCACCATGATCATGTTCCTTGCGGACTTGTATGGTGTGATCCTGCTTCTCCACGATCTGGGATATTCAACAGCATGATCAGTTCATGTGCAGGTACCCCTCCATACCATGACACAAAAAAAAGCTGTCAAGAATCCTTTTTGTGTTGTTTTCCACTATCTCTTTTCCCGCAGATCTTTCCAGTGGCGGCAGTATGTTCCAGTTTCCTTTTCATACCATGACCAGAAAATGATGATTGTTTCTGATGTTAATGATAAGTTATCTTTGGGCTCTTGCCTATTTCAAAACATCTGGGTTGACCTTTTTGGCTGTCCAAGAATTTTAAGCATGAAATAAATGTCAGAAACATCTAAAATATTGGTACATGAAATATCAGAAGACTTGTACAGAACGGAAAGTTGGGCGACATCAAAAATGGAATGAAGAGAATGAAAATCAGCATAGTAATTAGTGAAATGGGTGTAGGGGACAAGTAATCAAAACTGCCTCAGATCTTGTGTTTGCCATTTGCCATCGTCTGGTTGGTGAGTACTAATTCGAGGCTGCTGTCATCATCATCAGTTCTCTTCATGCCTAGCTCTTTATGCCTAGCTCTTTATGCCTAGTGGCCCAAGAGGCTTCAGAGAGGACTTTGCATGCTTTCCTGTCCTGTGCAATCTTCAGTACAGTTTTCCATGTCAGAGATGCCGCACTCAGGTCACTTTCCATCATTTGTCCCCATGTTCAGTCCGTTTATATCTCATTTTGATTTCTGTAGCGGTAATACATCCATTGCCGGCTTGCTATGCCTGTCACATACAAAGCATACATGGAAAGAGAAGAAGGACGTAGAGCACGGGGTAGACCAAGAACAAGATGGAAGGATAACATCAGAGAAACTCTACAACAGCACGATGTGCCTATGGTCGAGGCAGCCAGAAGAGCTAGAAACAGAACCTTATATCTCCCTCGACACCCACAACGGTAAAAGAGGAAGTGAAGAAGAAGAAGAAGTCCCCATGTTGTTTTTTTAGGCGTCCATTTTTTCTCTTTCTCTCTGGTATCCACGTGAGAGCTGTTTTGGCAGGTATATCAGGATTCATTCTCATAATGTGGCCAAGAGAGGCTACGGTAGCCCCGTTTAACTCGAGTAACTATAGATAACAGTTGCTCAGAAGGCAAACAAACCAAATCTGGTGTGGTGTGATAGGTTGAATGGTGCAGACATTGCAGTCATCTTGAAAACTTTAGTGTGAATATATTTTTGTGTTGAAATTTAAAAAAATACTGGAGCAGGACAGTCTTGATGTGGCTGTGGTGTATCATCATATAGGAAATCTAAAACCGAACGAAAAGTATATCACCGAGCTTCATCATATCACAAACAAAATGTGAACTATGTGGAGCCTTCTTCAGCACATACATTGAATAGAAAATACTTCACGAATTCACAATATCACTTATCTTTGCATCTCGTGGCAGCTAGGTCGATGTCAAGACAGTTGGCGAGGCACTTGGGCCTTGAAAATAGATATCCGGGGATATGCTAGGGGCCATCACTTGAGATAAGATGAAACTGTGTAGGCAGTACAGCATTCTAGGGTTTAGGTGAAGCTGTATTGGCAGTTAAGTCCACTGGGCGCCAGAGTTCCCAAGGTGTATCATCATTAAGCAGTTTTTGTTTTAAATATCACTCTCAAGGCTCACAGAAAAACAACTAATTCTGTTGCCAGTTTCCCTGTATCATAAATTGTTATAATCCAGTTGTCTTCAATATAATTGTGTGAGGGTTTCCATTTTACAACACAGACCCATTTGTGTGATTTAATTTATGAAAGTGCTCAAGTGTTCCATCAAAATATTGTACTTTGAAGTGTTAAAAATGTACTTTGCTTTCTTTACTGACACGTGGAGGCCATGTATGTCTTTTTCAGGCAGATGACTTTCCACCAGCTGTTAAAAAAATTGATGTGCCGAAACCAGTAATGGTTAGAAAAAGATCACCAACTCCGCCACCTCCACCTCAGCCTCAAGTTCAGGATGTGGATGTGGCCAGAGGTAATTGTATTCTTGGCTGTCATATTTTATAAGTATATCAATATAGACAAGGAAGATCGCACTAAATTTTGCACCTCCTGAGAAGAAGTGAGCAGATAATCATCTGATTAGGATATTTTACCCCCTACCCCCTAAAACATAAGCAGTCATAATGTTTGGTCACACAATGAAAAAAGAAAAACAACAATGTTATGATGACTGGAAAGATTTATGCCAAAAGTCAGTGAGAGAAAATTCTCAACTTCTTTTTTAAATTTTTTTAATTGTTGTTATAGCATGTAGGGGTGGATGTCAGGATGCGAACTGAGACATGCCTATTGGAGATCACAGCATATGGAGAAGCTTGACTGACCCTACCAGTCAGCAGAACACTTCAAGAAACATATTTTAAAATTTATTTCACTAGAGTCACAATGTTTGCTGAAATCAAAAAAATGTTTAAAGCATTTTAAGCCACAAGACTCATTTTAAACAATAATAAAGTAGTATGTAGACAAAATATGAATATTTTACTGGCTAAAAAATACCATAATTTTGTTGTTGAAATAACAAGAAAAATATAATTTATGAATTCTTTCTTCGTATTTATTACTTCTTTAAATTAACCTCTGATTGACAGTAGTGTTGGCATTGTCAACACTGAGCTTTCAGTAATGAGTGAAATAGTACAAATTTTGACAGATTTCCTGTTATACAAAGAACAACAACATTTATGTCACAGATATATTTTTTTTTTTTTTTTTTTTTTTTTTTTTTAAATTTTTATTTTGATGATTACTGATTATTATGCATGTGTTTGCATTCTACAGTTGTAAATGTCATGTTGTTGCCATTTACAGGACTTTGGAAGAGCATCTTCAGAGCCCAGGCCAAAGATACACCTGAGAGACTTGCAATACTAGACTCCAGGGATAAGCTTCTTCGACTCTGTGAGTATAAATCATTAGAAAATTGGGTTTGAAGATCTTGTCAAACATGATATAGGTCACTAGAGTTGTTTATTTTTTCAGGAAATGATCTTCATTTAGCACAATCATCATCCTGTCATGCTGTTATATGCCACATTGGACTCCAGTCCAGTGCCCCATTCTATTCTGTCCTATTCAATCCTTGTGATATCTTGGATAGAATCCAGTACAGTACTTTTGGCCTCTCCCAACTACATTCGTCATAAAATCTCTCTTCTCGTTTCCGCTGTCTATTTCCTATTCCAGTGCCTGTTTAGTTATCCGCTGTCACCGTCTCCTCATTTTGTGTCCAGTATATTATAATATTTCTAACCGGGAAGGCTAACCCGGTCAACAAATGCCCGCAGAAGTCGGATGTGTTGGCCGAAAGGTGCAAATATCACAGCCATGCTGTAAACGGACACAACGCAATTACATCTGGGATGAAAGATGAAGATAATCTTTCTTATAACTTTATTGATACAACAAAGATTGTTCTTCTTTTTCTTGTAGTCCGTGCCATGTAGCTTTTCTTGTCATGTCTGTCTGGTTTTTGTTTTGTTTAGTATTGTGTGTATGATTTCTTGTTCAGATGTTCTTCCCTGTCTTGGTATGAAACTGTTCCTTGCTGCCTCAGTTCTGCTGTTACTTTCCACATGTTACCACACTCTCCACATGTTTCCTTCTCATAATGTGCCACCCTTCTTCGTCCTCCTCCTATTTCTCTTCCTCTTAGTGGGGCAGTAGGTCAGTTCTTGTATTCTCCCAACAGGGGTCCCAGGACCCACATACAGAAATTCTGATGCCTGTAACTGGTTCTGTTTGTGAGTTAATTTCTTTCAAAACATCTTCATTTTGTGTATTAATTGTTCATGGTATTACCATTTTTCTTTAAATAAATTGTTAGCAAACAGAACACCTCTGCACTTCTACATAGTTTCTTACTAGACTGCTGGTTGTCAGTGATTAACCTCCATGCACCAGGATTGGCTCTGTGTAGCTCCTAACACTGTTCCTCACCTTATTTGACAGAGATATATTATATTGTGTATTTTTCTTCCTGTGAAATTCTGCTTTTGCTTAGGCTATTCTGTGTTTAACTTCTTGTATACATCTACCACCAAGATTACACCACAGCATCTATTATGCTTTTTGAACGCTCAAAGTGTTGAGAACTACATCAAACGTTCGATGGCCTGTTGCCATAAAGCTGGCAGTGCAGTGTCTTATGGGACGTCACATGTGCAACCGCTGATTGATTGCAACAGCTACTTCCATCGACATTGAACTCCAGTTCAAATGTTTGACTGTTGTATTGGGACTTCTGGCGGCTGCCTTATGCACTAATGCCTGTGTATGCTATTAGCTTTGCTTTGTTGCAACCTGTTTCAGTTTTTTTTTTAAAACAAGGGGCAGTGAAAGGCATTCTCTTTTGCTATTGCAGAGGCACAGAAACAGAGCAATTGTGTGGCAACACATTTATCATGCAGCTGTAACTGCGACTGACTACTGACTCAGTAAAAACATAAAACGTTTGCATGTTAAAATGAATAAACTGATTGTGCTTTCTTGGTTTAAGAGAGTTAAACTCAGTTACAATAACACCAGTGATTTTACTTCCAGTACGTGGCAAGCAACAGACTGATCTAGCCACAGCTAAAGCTTTTGTGGGGACTTGTCCAGATATGTGTCCAGAAAAAGAAAGGTACTACAGAGAAGACACTCGCAGACTGTCTATATTTGAGGTCATTCCAAGCACAGCCACCAGTTTGGTAGGTAGATTGAATGTTATGTATACATGGTCCGACAATTAAGTAATGAGACTGATTTTATTACAGCCAAGACAAAAGTGCCATCTATGAAGCAAAGCATGGAATCCAAAGAGGCAACCTTCTTCTATGATCTAGCAACTTTGCATCGCTGCCTGATAAGCAGACGACACAAAAGCCGCCATTTTATTGACCTAGTTAGATGTGCATTGTTACGAAATCAGGATGGAGCAAACAGCTAACATTAAATTCTGTTTAAAACTCAGAAAAAGCACCATTGGGACAGTTGAATTGATGCGACAAGTTTGTGGGGATAATTGTTTATCTGGTACACAGATTTTCTGGTGGTATTTATGTTTCAAAAGTGGGGTAGAAATGATTACTAATGCAACTAGACCTGGACTCCCAGTTTCTGTTTGTAATGATGAACTCATTGCAAAAGTCACAGAGCGGATAGAAGAAGATAGTTGTTTTACTGTGAGGATGATGGCAGATGAATCTGGTGTTACTAGAGAGACCCTTCGTAACATTTTAGGGCAAGATTTTGGCCAGAAAAAGGTTGCCCTCAGATTTGTACCGCATTCGTTGTCTGATGACCAAAAACATCAGTGGGCTGATTAGCCAGGAGACATCATCAAAACAGGAATTTTAAGCCTTCATGTTTACAATTATAAAACAATTAGTCCTAGACAGTTGAAATTTTGCTGGCATGTTATGAGAAATACTTTTAGAATCCTAGAGAAAACTGGTGACCTTGATGGAAAAAGGGCCAAGGGAAGATGACAATACGGAATATTTACCTGCATGGCTTGACCTTATTGCTTAATTTAGACAGACCTGATTTGCAACTGGTGATCATTTGACATGGTGAACCAGGACTGACCATGCTTGAAGGCATCGCACCTGACAATGATAATCAAAAATGAGGTGGTATTAGGAGCGTTAATTTGAAACCCATTCAGCCACACCCGTGTTATTGTATGCATCGAACATGAGATCGTGTCATAAGTACTTACCAATGAAGAAAAGGGCACATACTTATCATCCCTTGATGCATAGGTTTTGTTTCTGACCATTGAGAAAATGGCCGGGTTGATGCACAATCTTCAGTGGGTTCAGTTCCTGACAGCCAGACTTTTTTCAAAAATGACCTTGGCTTCCAGGTCGACCCAGTCTGAAATGGGTACCAGGGAAAGTCCTGGGAAGTAAAGTTGGCCAGCGTGATATGGAACACATCATCCATGAAGTGCCGATTGGTCTATAAAATATAGGTCTAGCTTAACGGCCCAGTATGCCCGAAGGTGTGGACAAGGGTCCCTTATTTTTACTTGACATCATATATGACAAAAGTCTTCTATCTAGTCTGCTTCATTTGTTTTTACAGACAGGTCTAAAATCTAAAGTAGATCATCTACGGGCTGTCAAGGAGTACAGCAGATCTTCAGCTGACCAGGTAGGCTTGAGTGGCACAATTGTGTTGTTATTATTTCTGTTATTGTTATTGTTCTCATGTTTATTACATGTTTTTATTTATGACAAATTATTTAAAATCTTATCTAATGCAGACAGCATTAATTCTGTGATCACAGTTCTTTTGTTCTTTACTTTATTGTCAGATGAGAATAATAAACCTTCTGATTTTCTTGTGTGGGTTTCAGGACCCCCAATTGGGGGGGGGGGGGGCACTCCCCTTAGGTGACTAATTAGGTGTTTGCTCCAATTGGACATGCCTGTTGGAAAGAGGCCTCAATAACAACCTGGCTGTCAACTACAGTATAATCGCTGCTTTTTTAAAAGGCAAATACAGAAGTAGAATGTTGAATTAAGAGTTCACATCACAGCACTTCCGACACTTCCATGAGGGCTTTGTCCTCATCTTCAGCAGCAAACAAAGAGTTCCAATTCCCATGGCACCAGTTACTGTCTGATTGTACATCCGTCTCTCTCTTCCATTGAGTATTGTCAGTCAGATTAACTGGCAACTCCTAACAGCGTCATTCTTTTCAGACCCTAATGATCTGTTTGTACCTCTGCACTGTTCACTCACTCCTAAAGGGCCCTTACAACATTTAGTTTGTCATTCATCAATTCACCACCAAGCTGTACACACCTTGACGTTATAAATGCTGACAAGGAACCAACACATAGACCCCTCTAGTCAACTAGACTGTTGATTCCGGTGGTCCCCTTTTTTTGGGGGCGACATAAAATTAATTTTAGAACCATAACAGATATATCAAAAACTAGTCTGCCTCATGGCATTTCGTCGATCTTTCTAGAAGGACACCCACTCATTAACATTTCGGACAACACTTTCAATAATACATCTACAGCAACTCTAGAAAACCTACAGATTCAACAGGCAAAGTTCACATTTTTACCAAAAGCACTAAGCAAACTGATCTTCCTCCCCAAGAAAGTACTAGGATACAAGAATGGGATACTGAAACACTGAATTATATTGCTGCCACACTTCAGATCCTTGATCTTAGAAACGTAGTTTGTCTTCATGGCTGATCTGGATTTCCGACTTTCAATTGCTATGAACATTCAGCCTCGTGGAAATTCTCTCTAAACCTTGACAAGTCTTAGGTGCGTGAGCTTACCTAATAACGGAATCTCGGATTTACCATTCTGGTTCACTTCCTTCGACTTTAGTGATGTTGGTTCTTTCAGACAATCAGCTGACATCATCTTCTGGTTCTGACATTGATAGGGAATGGATGACGGTTGAGAACTTGGCTTATGTTGACCATACTCGTCGCCGTTTCTCCTCCAGTTTCAATGTTGTAAGATTGTGGAAATCTTCTTTGCAGCCGGAGCTACTGAGTTTAGTGCTCCTGGCGGCACTGTGAGCTGTGATTATCGGTTATTGACTGAGTTCCAGATTCGTACATAATGGCAATGATGGGTGATGTATTTTTCTTTGTTGTTTTCCTGGACAAGGCATGTGCAATAGTTTTAATTTACTCATCACCGAACTATTTGTTGAATGAATTTGATTTTCAGTGATGACGCCTGGTCTCGCAGTTTGTTTAAGGAGGCATACACCTAATGGTTTGCCAGAGAAATCATGTATGTTTTCCTGACTGAGGACACTTTGTACGGGTACGGCATTCACTTGAAGTATCCAGCGTATCTGACTCAGTTTGTGACTGGAATCACTGGCATAGGCGGTTGACCAATTATGGGCCAAGCTCATTTGCTGTGATGCCGGAACCGTAATGACTAACTAACTAATCACCAAGTAGTGCAGAACCAGATCTGCCTGCTCATCTCCCAACACACCAGCATGACCTGGAGGAAATGTCCAAAGGATGCTAACTACCCAAGACCTCTGAAGCGATGCTTGCCACTCTACATGCAGCATACCTGTCTTCACCTTTTTCAACATGCTCTGTGAGTCAGTTACAAATAAAAAATGTGTGTACAGCGGATTCTTAAGCCAGTGGAAGTGAGCAATGACATCCTCCATCTCCATACCTCCATTGGACGTCATATCATATGCCGGCTTTTGCTGCACTGACATCCATTAACTGTTGCTGCAAACTTCCTTACACTTTATCTGCCTCTCAACACAGAGCCATCTGTATAGATAATCACATCACCTGGGCGGGAATTGTCATGAATCATTTATTGAACTTTTAATACAGAAGTAGAATCATAAGGATCTGATTCAAACAGAGGCTTCACCTGTGCTTGTTTTCACGACTTAGCTCAGAAGAAAACACAAGATTTTAGAGCAGGAATGTCCTGTGTAGATTCTGGGATCCATTTTGTCTGGGAGGGGGAGGAGTAGCACCTTTAACCTCCCTCATCAGCGTTCATTTTAGGGTTTCTTTTAGGCATCTTCACTTCCTTAATCCCTTTATTTTCCATTTTAGCGCCTGTTCGCTTCTTCTCAAGATTACCAGTGTTATCTTGACAAGCTTTTCATAAATCACGACAGATAAGAGTTTGCTAAAATTTGATGTCAATCAACATGTGACACGTTAACCACCTTGTTGAGGGTGGGCACAGAAAAAGAAGAGCAGGAACAAGGACATGGCCTTATTTATTGCCTGACATATTGGGCTGTAACTCGTCAGGTGCTTGTCTACAGAATATACATCAGGTAAATAGGGAAGCACAAAACTTGGATCCCTTAAACAGAAATACAGTCTGTAGTCTCTTGTTACACTGTACAACTGACCACAGAATACCAAGATTAACCACATGATCTTTTTGTTTGCATAGCGTGGGTTTGCTCATCCTAATCTTCACTGCTTCTTCAAACTTCGTCTGCTTAGTGTATAATAAATAACCTGGAAGACAGTCACTGTCAGTCATGTCCCCTGATAGTGTTTTTTCTTCTGTCTTAGTATGAAGTATGTTTTTCATTGTTTAAATTTTGTGTGTGTGAACAAATTACAGGAAGAACCATTGTCACATGAATTGAGACCCCTGAAAGTGCTAGAAAATACAATGAATTATTTGTTGTCACAAGTAGCTGATCTGGGAGAGGATGGGAAGTGGTCAGAGTGGTATGACTTCTTGTGGAATCGAACCAGAGGAATAAGGAAGGTAGGGCACTTTTACATTTTAGTGTCAGTAAAAATAATTGTTTCAAAACCTGTCAGAAAAGTGGCATGTGTACCTGAATGGTAGACGAAGTGTTAAATATGGCCAAATATAGCTGACATTTTTTAATAGACTAATTAAGTCTTAGTTACCAGACAAGATATACACCAAAAAGAGGCTAGAATTGTAGAGCACAAGGTAGACCAAGAACAAGATGGATATATAACTGCAGAGAAACTCTACGATGGTGGGATGTGTGATTAAAGGTCGAGGCGGCCAAAAGAACCTTATATCTCGACACTGAAGTGGCAAAAGTGGAAGTGAAGAAGAAAATTTAGTGTTTTACTGGTTAAATAAATTGTCCTTGGATTTAAAACATCACTACACCAGAAAGTTAAAGTAGTAGTTAGTGTGTAGTAAGTTGATGTAAGTAATGTCTGTTTGGTGCAAAAAGTTACAATAATGTCTTTTAGCATAATGCGGGTTGATGTAACCCTTGTCTGATGTATGTAACTGAAAGAATAAAATAATAATTAGGACATTGTGGATACATGTCGTATTTGCTGAAAAAGATTTGTAAACATAAAGTGAGAAGGAGGGGGGTGCATTTCTGACAGCAATGTTACTTTGTAACATTCTTCTTAAATCAAGCATGTCAATATAAAACATTTTTATAGTTATTATAATTACTGTGTGTTATTCTTGTGTGATTCCAGTACTAACCTATGGATGCGAGAGCTGGAAATCAATGAAAACTCTAGACACAAAATTAGACAGTTTTGAAAATAAATGCCTTAGAAGAATACTAAATTTCAAATGGTCAGATTTCCGAACCAATACACAAATAAGGCAAGAATCCAGGCAAGAAAAACGCCGCTGGAACTATATCGGACACGCCCTTAGAATGGATAAATCTAGACTTCCTTACCAAGCCCTCATTTGGACACCACAGGGGAAAAGATCTCGTGGAAGACCAAGGGAAACCCTACGTAGAACTATCATCAGGGAAGGCTCGCTCATGGGCCACTCAAACATCCAAGACCTACAACAGATTGTAACGAACCGCCATGCATGGAGAGTCATGGCCTCTGCCCTATGTGCCGCACTCGACACAAGAGGAATGACTAACTAACTAACTAACTAACTGTGTGTTCAGTGCTGTTAGTACTTCAGCAGGTTGCGGCTAACAGAGCCTAAGTGGTGAGGCAAAGAAGCTGACCTTTTCTTAGTTCTGTCCATTGGGTACCATGAGAAGGAATTCGACTATGTTGCACCATGTTCATGATGCCTGCACTTCTGCGGCAGGGGGATGGTTGGGACATGGAGGCAGCAAAATAGAACACAATTGTCTTGGGTTATGTTTTTATTGTGGTTGGCTTTCAACTTTTTTTTTTAACTGCACGTCAGCGTCTATGGCTTAGACACTGCAAACGCGCTTTCTAGTGCTGGGTTCGATCCCTAGTTTTTCGCCTTGCATTGGTTTTGACAGTGGCATTGAGAACTGACTGTTGAGAAAGCAAGGGCAAACTACTGAATGTAAAATTTGCCTAGAAAAACCACAACAGCCAAAATTGGTGCTGCAGTGTCCTGTAAAGGAAACACAACGAACTTTTTTAAACTCCATTTGAGAGTCCTGTCAAGGGTTAAACATCTTGCCATGAAGAGACTCCTGTTCTTGTTTGTGTTTGCTCTGTTTTGATTATATAATGATTTTAATCTTAATAAAGTTATTTGCATATCTTTTAATAGATGTTGCAAATTAACACCACGTACTACACTTCACTGCAGTGAAGTTAAAAGATGGGGAGGACATGGTGAGAGCTGCATGCGTTAGCAAAGGATAGAACGACTTTGTATGAGTTTGTTGAGGGCCTATGCTCCATTGGGGGTTAGAAAGGCAGAGGAAGAAGACTACATTGCTGGCTGTTTGCGGTCTTACTAGGCAGTTTTACATTGAGAAGTTTGGCATTGCTCTCTAAATGGCTCACAGATCATAGGCATGGTCAAAATCAACACAAAACTATCTGCTGCTAAATCGTCTGCAGCTGATTTTAAACTGGTAGGTCAGAATAATAAAACTGTGCTGATCTAGGAGGGAAGCTCCGACAGGCTGTCAGATAGAGCAGTGCTTTTCTAATCGGGCAGCTTCTACAGCAGGCTTTGTTCAAAACTTAGAGCTGTTTTTACCTTTCCTATGGAGTAAACAAGACAGGCCGAGAGAGGGATCACGATGCATGTGCAGCATATGGTCTCTTCAGTACTGCCCAGGCTTTGTGCTGTGGAGAGGAAGGCTTTTCTTAAGGCCAGCGGGTCTGGCTAGTCACACTCGCCATCACCATGGGCTGGGATTCGTACAACTCCTCATAGTGCAGTATAATACTGTCATCTGGAAAGATGAAAAGGTGCCAACGCTCACAATCCTTTAGCTAAAGATGCTGATGATAATGTAGTGGTCATAATTTAATTATTATAATGTGATGATTATAATGTAATGATTATAATGTGATGATTATAATGTAATGATTATAATAAAACGATTATAACATCTAATTAACCCCACAGGACATAACCCAGCAACAGTTGTGTGAAGTTCAAGTTGCAGAACTATTAGAGAAGTGTTCCCGCTTTCACATCTTTTGCTCCGAGAGACTGTGTGAAGAGGACATGATGACATTTGATGCCAAGATAAACAGTGAGAATCTCACAAAATGCCTCCAGACATTGAAGGAACTCTATGATGATTTGGAGAAACGGGGAATCTTTTGTCCCAATGAGGCAGAGTTCAGAGGCTACATGGTGCTGATGAATCTTAATGAAGGGGATATTCTCAGGTGGGTCTATTTTATATCCTCTTTCTGAAGTAGCAGTTATCATTTCTTATTTTGTATTGTCCCTCTGTCCTCTATCTGAAGCAGCAGTTATTATTTCTTATTTTGTATTGTCCGGCTGTCGCTAATGTATTAAGTGACTTTAAACATTACTCGGGCTTGTCACCAGGTGGGTCTATTTTATATTCTCTATCTGAAACAGCAGTTATCATTTCTGATTTTATACAGTCCAGCTGTCACTTCTGTATTGAGTGAGTTTAAACATTACTCAAGCTCTGCAGCATGAAAGGGTTACCAACCCCTGGTCCAGTGTGTCTGACACAGAGTTGGTGACATGTAAAATAGAATATATCAGAACAGGGCATAAGATCTGTATACTATAGTATAACCACCCAATAAGATCTGTGTACTTTAGTATAAACACAGAGTAAAGGTAAAGTCACGAGATGTGAACCAGCGTCATTGCACATGATTATAAGAAACTGTAAAACAGCTGATAAGAAACTGTCTACCTGTGTTGCCGTCCGCTAGTAACTCATAGCTCCAGCGACGTTCCTCCATTCACCTCAGAGTGTCAACTCTGGTACTCATTTCCTAGAGGCTGGGTGAACCCCAGGGACCGCGTGGTTTTGAACACCGACCGTGGCTGCAGCGAGTCGCAGCTGGATTTGAAAGCGAACGTCTTATGGACTGTGCTAACGCAAAACAGAGTAAGATCTGTGTACTTTAGTATAACTCTGCTAGAAGCATGCCTGCGAATCGGAAGGTCATGCATTCGGATCCTGATGGAACAGGGTTTTCTTCAGAAGTGGCCTTGGCTTCCAGGTGGACCCAGCTTTGAGTGGGTACCAGGTGCAGTCCTGGGAAATAAAGGCGGCTGGCCTGATGCTTACCACATCACCCACTGAGTGCCTTTTGGTCTATAAAATATAAATCTAGCCCTTTTTGCCTGATATACCTGAAGTGGGGAAAAAGGGCCTTTTATTTTACTCTGTGCCTCAGAGAATAGCAGGACCTACCCTGAAACAAAACAGTGAACCCACTTAACAAGGTATCACCTTCAAACCATGCCTGATTTGAAAGCAGCACGTTGACAGCCCGCTGCCTTCCCAGCTTTAAATCAGGCAGTGTTAAAGTAACAACTGGTATAGAATAGATTAGAATAACAGAAGAATGGGAGAAAAGAAGATGAGAAAAGTATGTCATATATATAGATTTACCAACACATTTATAGTTAGTTTACTTGCTTTGGAAAAGTTAACTCGCCTTTTTGAATATTTCATCTTTTGTTTTTGTGGCAAGTTTAATAGGAGGAGCATTCAGAAAGTAACGCCACACATTTCTCTATCTCGCAAACTTATGCAGATTGTATGAACTGGACAGATCATATAACTTACTGTGTCCTTAACACATCATTTTTTTAAATATAATCTCTTTCCACTTCTGTGATTTGACTGCAGTGCAAAACAAAGGCATACATATATTGCCAGTATAAGGTTTTTCTATTCACCTAGCCATTTCTTCCCTGCATGAATAAAAACCTAGGCTTCTTTCTCCACTTTCTGAAGCTTTAACACTTCAAATCCAGCAGCCAATGGTGTTTCTGTTGACTGTATAACTTCCAAAGGTTACACAACCACATTGGTGAAAAGTCACCACATTTTTGTTCCTCAATTCAACCATCTGTTGGGTAGTTAGCTGACAGATTATCCTAATTGCCCATCAAACCATTCAGTCTGTAAGTGGTTTGATCCCCTCAGTAAATCTCATTATTCTGTTGCAGTCGGGTTGTGGTTGCAGATTCACAGTCATCAGCTAGTTCTCGCAAACGTCCTACTTCTCTAAGAGCATTCAGTACATCAGCCTGGTCCATGACTCCCTTGCCTTCCACAGTAGCTTTACTTGCAGGCCTTTTAGCTTGATCATTTTCTTGTACGCCTGTGTGCTCTGAATCTAAGACTGATATTTGTCAGCCCCAACCACCTCAGAGACTCCAGCCACTGTTTTCAGACCCAGCCCATTTCTATCTTTCTGAGCACTAATTGAATCACTGAGAACACATGTGCTGATGTCTGTCTTCAGACCCAGCCCATCTCTTTCTTTCTGAGCACTCATTGAATCACTGAGAACACATGTGCTGATGTCTGTCTTCAGACCCGTTCCAACTCTATCTTCCTGAGCACTCATTGAATCACTGAGAACACATGTGCTGATGTCTGTCTTCAGACCCAGCCCATCTCTATCTTTCTGAGCACTCATTGAATCACTGAGAACACATGTGCTGATGTCTGTCTTCAGACCCGTTCCAACTCTATCTTCCTGAGCACTCATTGAATCACTGAGAACACATGTGCTGATGTCTGTCTTCAGACCCAGCCCATCTCTATCTTTCTGAGCACTCATTGAATCACTGAGAACACATGTGCTGATGTCTGTCTTCAGACCCAGCCCATCTCTATCTTTCTGAGCACTCATTGAATCACTGAGAACACATGTGCTGATGTCTGTCTTCAGACCCAGCCCCTCTTTCTTTCTGAGCACTCATTGAATCACTGAGAACACATGTGCTGATGTCTGTCTTCAGACCCGTCCCAACTCTTTCTTTCTGAGCACTCATTGAATCACTGAGAACACATGTGCTGATGTCTGTCTTCAGACCCGTCCCAACTCTTTCTTTCTGAGCACTCATTGAATCACTGAGAACACATGTGCTGATGTCTGTTTTCAGACCCAGCCCATCTCTATCTTTCTGAGCACTCATTGAATCACTGAGAACACATGTGCTGATGTCTGTCTTCAGACCCGTCCCAACTCTTTCCTTCTGAGCACTCATTGAATCACTGAGAACACATGTGCTGATGTCTGTCTTCAGACCCAGCCCATCTCTTTCTTTCTGAGCACTCATTGAATCACTGAGAACACATGTGCTGATGTCTGTCTTCAGACCCGTCCCAACTCTTTCTTTCTGAGCACTCATTGAATCACTGAGAACACATGTGCTGATGTCTGTTTTCAGACCCAGCCCATCTCTATCTTTCTGAGCACTCATTGAATCACTGAGAACACATGTGCTGATGTCTGTCTTCAGACCCGTCCCAACTCTTTCTTTCTGAGCACTCATTGAATCACTGAGAACACATGTGCTGATGTCTGTCTTCAGACCCAGCCCATCTCTATCTTTCTGAGCACTCATTGAATCACTGAGAACACATGTGCTGATGTCTGTCTTCAGACCCAGCCCATCTCTATCTTTCTGAGCACTCATTGAATCACTGAGAACACATGTGCTGATGTCTGTCTTCAGACCCAGCCCATCTCTTTCTTTCTGAGCACTCATTGAATCACTGAGAACACATGTGCTGATGTCTGTCTTCAGACCCGTCCCAACTCTTTCTTTCTGAGCACTCATTGAATCACTGAGAACACATGTGCTGATGTCTGTCTTCAGACCCGTCCCAACTCTTTCTTTCTGAGCACTCATTGAATCACTGAGAACACATGTGCTGATGTCTGTTTTCAGACCCAGCCCATCTCTATCTTTCTGAGCACTCATTGAATCACTGAGAACACATGTGCTGATGTCTGTCTTCAGACCCGTCCCAACTCTTTCTTTCTGAGCACTCATTGAATCACTGAGAACACATGTGCTGATGTCTGTCTTCAGACCCGTCCCAACTCTTTCTTTCTGAGCACTCATTGAATCACTGAGAACACATGTGCTGATGTCTGTTTTCAGACCCAGCCCATCTCTATCTTTCTGAGCACTCATTGAATCACTGAGAACACATGTGCTGATGTCTGTCTTCAGACCCGTCCCAACTCTTTCCTTCTGAGCACTCATTGAATCACTGAGAACACATGTGCTGATGTCTGTCTTCAGACCCAGCCCATCTCTTTCTTTCTGAGCACTCATTGAATCACTGAGAACACATGTGCTGATGTCTGTCTTCAGACCCGTCCCAACTCTTTCTTTCTGAGCACTCATTGAATCACTGAGAACACATGTGCTGATGTCTGTTTTCAGACCCAGCCCATCTCTATCTTTCTGAGCACTCATTGAATCACTGAGAACACATGTGCTGATGTCTGTCTTCAGACCCGTTCCAACTCTATCTTCCTGAGCAGACATACAGAGTCACTGAGAAAACATACATGGTTAAAGGTCAGCATCTCCAGCCATATTATTGCTTTGGTCACTGTCATGTGACCTCTATAGTCCGACTGTTTGTAAATAAGGTAACAGTACCAGAATCTTAATGCTGGGGTTGGTTCTGCAACGTCCTGTAAAGGATACGCAACTAACTAAACAGAATCTTGCTTCACATTTCTAACTCCAACCAAGCCGTAAAAGCTAACAAGCTTCTCACATGCGAGCCACACTCATTTATAACGCACATTGTCCTCATTCTCTGTTTTTAAAAGGATTAATGAAATTGTTCTTTTTATTGGAATGAGTTGCAGAACCAACCCTAGCATTAATTGACTCTTGTGGTTTTTCTAGGCAAATTTACGCCCAGTAGTTTGCCATTGCTTTCTGGACAGTCGGCTTCTCGATACCACTGTTGAAACTAGCGCAAGGCCCGCAGCTGAGATCGAACCCGGCATTACGAAGCTTGTTCGAAACACCTTAGCCACAGATGCCGACTCTGGAATGAGTAGCCATTTCATAAATTTATAATCATTACTAAGAATTTAAATTATGAATTGTGCACAATTCATGTGTTTCTGTCTTCATAATTTGCTACGAGAAAAATATGGAGCATTACTTTCTGAATGCCTATCGGTTATCATTCTAGTATGTCTTATTTTGATTCATCACAGAGAGGTGCAGCAGCTGCGGCCAGAGATACGAGACTCCCCTCACATCAGCTTTGCGGTCCAAGCCTACAATGCTCTGAATGCCAGCAACTATGTGAGGTTTTTTCGGCTGATTGAGGAAAAAGCAACATTCTTGAGTGCTTGCATTCTCCATCGATACTTTAACCAGATACGCAGTAAAGCTCTGCTTATCATTATGAAAGCGCATGGTGCCCTGGGAAAGAATATTGTCTTGGTGAGTCTTGTCAGGAAGTTGTGGTGTGCTGTGGTTAGCATACTGACTGTCAGCATAGTGGTCTTTGGTTTCAATTTGATGTTTAGAAATGTATGTCTTCCACGTGGTTGACCAGGCTCACTGAAAAATGGCTACCAGGAATTGTACCTTGGCTGCCAGGCTGAGCCAGCCTAAAGTGGGTGCCAAGTAATGCCTTTGGGTAGTAAAGCCAGCCAAGGTGGTGTTGACCACATCTCTTGTGAGTACCTATTGTTCTACAAAATTATAGGTGTAGCATTGTATGCTGATGTGTGAAGGGATCCTTCATGGCTTTTTGTAACCTTTGAAAAATTGTTTCTAACTGACTCTTGTGTTTTTTTTTGGGTATGTGTTGTGTAGTTTTTTAATTAAAAAAAAAATATGGGAGCTAGTAGGCTTGCTGTTTTGTTCTTTGATAAAGATTTAATTTGGAACATTTCCTTGTATCTGTTTGCATCTTTCCTTTTCCCTTGATTAGCTTATTAGTAATATTTTGTGCTAATTTAAGTTTTAGCATGACTCCAGTGACTTCTATTTTCACCTTCTGTCTTCCTTGCTATGTCAAGATGTAAAAGGAAACCTATATGTGGATATTTCCTATCATTCATGTATACATTAGCATTGGTTGAATCTTGAATGATATATTGGGCAATCAGTTGTCAGTTTTTGTCTTGATAAGTCATGACTCTGACAGACAAAATCTGAAGTGTTCTGTTGACAGTCATTGATCGATGTTGATAACTACGGAAAAGATTTTCTGAAACACTTGAACAGAACAGACCAAGTCACAGTTTTTCGCTTACGCACTGGACACTGCAGACTCAATAAACACTCACATAAATTAGGTATGAGCCAAACAGCTCTCTGCCGGTGCCTTCGTGCTGAACAGACTCCAGAACATGTCCTGCAAGACTGTCCTCTCCTGGCGGAGCTGCGGAGCGACATATGGCAACACCCAGTTGAACTGACAACTAAGCTTTGGGGAAACCTAATAGACCTTGAAAAGACATCCCAGTTTATGACCCACAGTGGATTATGCGCATGACCAGAGATCGTTGAAGAAGAAGAAGATCGATGTTGATTATTTTGTTAGTCTGAGGTAAAGCAATATGTTAGATAAACTTTCGGTTCTACAATCTATACCGCACACATAAAGATATAACAACTCATGAGATATTTTGAAACTACATTGTTACATTGTTTGTATGTCAGTTTGGTAGGGGTCTGTAATCTTAAAAAGGTATATATGGCCTGCTGAGATCAATTTGTGTTAGGCAGGCGATACAGTTTTGATAGCTGAAAATGCAACTATTTACAACAACTGCTGGATATTGTGGGGATGGAGGGTGCTAAGAAAGGACTTTAATTGAATATTAAGAAAATGGATGTAATGGTTATATCAAAGAAGAAGATAATTCCACGTTGTGATGTCTCAGTTGAAGGAAAAAGACTTAACCAAGTCAATAAATTTAAATATCTGGGAACAATCATATCATCAGATGGAAAATGTATGACAGAGATTAAAAGCAGAATTGGTCAAGCGAAAGCTGCATTTTAGAAAATGAAAAATATCTTATGCAATAAATCGCTCTCATTTAATGTCAGAAATAGTTGCTAAAATGTTACATAGAACCTGTTCTGCTGTATGGCAGCGAATCTTGGAATGTCACTGAACAAATTAAAAAGAATTTGGAAGCAACAGAGATGTGGTTTCTGAGACAAATGTTACAAATACCTTGGACGGCTAGAGTAACTAACAATAATTGCTTGAAAGATGCTAATGAAAGTAGATCTCTATATACAACAATAAGAAAGAGACAAACACTGTTCTTTGAACAGAAGAGAGACATTGGAGAACATCGTGACAACTGGAAAGATCAGTGTAAAATGGGGTAGAGGCAGACCACGAGAGAAGATGCTGGATGGGCTAAAACGATGGCATAGAGGGATATCATCAAGAGAGCTGTTCCTGGCAACCAGTGATTGTGGTTTGTTTGTGGAGATGGGTGAGCGTCTACGCCAGTTGGCAGGGCACATGATGATGAGGAGATCATGCATTGACATTTATATGTTGTATGTGTGTCCTCATTGGAGTGGTCTTTCAGGTTGTATAGTTAATTATGTATAGTGACAGTTTATTGCAATTTTTGAAAGCAGAATATAACATTTCATGCTTTACGATCTTATTATTATTAATAATAAATCACAAATTTAAGCCATGGCACAGAAAACAATATTTCACCAGGAGTGGTGTGGGTGTCCTAATGGGAACAACAAACAACTAGATTATGTTGCTTTTTCAAGTCTTGAGCATCCACTTTGCAAACAGCAGTATCCATGTGTGGGTTCCCAGGCCCCATTTGGGGGGGGGGGGGGGAGAACAGACCCACTGTTTCCCCCCCCCCCCCCCCCCCCCCCCCCCACCACTACTACCACCACTCCAACAATAGTGTCATAAAGGTGACTTACCAGGGATGTGTTCTTCAAAGTCGGAGAGGTGAGGAACCAACAGTTCACTTACCAAAAAGCCAGATCTGTAAACTGGACTCAACATTCTGGGACAGGACCGAAGTCCAGAAGGGGTTGAACAATCAAAACTTTCTGCCGGAGTTTACAGCTGCTGAACACTAAGAAAAAGAAGAAGAAAGATACAGGGGTATTACAGTTTTGTTCCCTGCACTAATTGGTTATTTAGACTTTGTGGAAGGTTTGTTTATATCCTGGTGACAAGTATTGCTATCATCACTGTGAACCTGTATCATTGTAAGGTGGGATTCCTGTATGGGTTTTCAGGCCCCGTGTGGTGGGTAAAAGGTGGGGGTTGGGATAGGCCTTAACAAGCATGTCACAATTGGCGACTAATTAAGAGTTTGTTGAAATGGGATGTCATCATCATCATCATCATAAACCAGTTCTGCCATTAAGCAATGTGGGGAGGAAAAATTTGATATCCAGTGCACACTGGATGCCACTGGCTGTTGTCATTCCATGAAGGCGTAGAATGTCTTTAATGTTGTCGATCTATATTTCCGCGGCCGTCCTCTTGTTCTTGTAGCTGATCTTCTGAGCTATAGCCCCTGGTATGGTCCATAAAGTGTAGATACCACTGCGGGACTGTAAACCACAGCACTTTGTGCCACCAGCCATTTTAAAACATCAACACCGAAAAAGACAAGATTATGTTCCTTTGTGACTGACTAGCTCCAGTTTTTGTTTCCCTCAGATTTTACCCATCATTGTTTTATTTGCAGTATCCTGTTGAAGAGATGATTCGTCTCTTGTGCTTTGAAGATGCTAGGGAAGTGGAATCCTTCTGCTTTCATTACTGCCTGTCTTTGAGAGGTGCAGATGTTGTGCTAGATGCAAAGGCATTCACTGAACCTGAGGGATCATTACCCCAGACCAGGTCTCAGTCTCTTATTGAGATTAAGGAGGAGAATATGTCAACTGGAGAAGTAAGTTGTGCATTAATGTTATTGTTACTGTGTGATTGTACAAGGATATAGTACAAATAACACTGGACCCCATGTCTTCTTTTGTACTGTATTTTCCTAGTGCTAGAATCAAACAGTATACTATATATCCCATTGCTTCTGGAATCAGACCCAGCACTGCATATTCATGGTGCTGGAATCATATCTGGTACTGTGTATTCATAGTGCTGGGATCATATCTGATACTGTGTATTCATAGTGCTGGGATCATATCTGATACTGTGTATTCATAGTGCTGGGATCATATCTGGTACTGTGTATTCATAGTGCTGGGATCATATCTGATACTGTGTATTCATAGTGCTGGGATCATATCTGATACTGTGTATTCATAGTGCTGGGATCATATCTGGTACTGTGTATTCACAGTGCTGGGATCATATCTGATACTGTGTATTCACAGTGCTGGGATCATATCTGGTACTGTGTATTCATAGTGCTGGGGTCATATCTGGTACTGTGTATTCACAGTGCAGGGATCATATCTGGTACTGTGTATTCTCAGTGCTGGGATCATATCTGGTACTGTGTATTCATAGTGCTGGGATCATATCTGGTACTGTGTATTCATAGTGCTTGGATCATTTCTGGTACTGTGTATTCATAGTGCTGGGATCATATGTGGTACTGTGTATCCTTAGTGCTGGGATCATATGTGGTACTGTGTATTTATAGTTCTGAGACCATGTATGATACTGTGTATTTATAGTTCTGGGATAATATCTGATACTGTGTATTCCTAATGCTAGGATCATATCTCATGCTGTATTTTCATGGTGCTTGTATTGAATTTGGTATTGTGTATGTATAGTTCTGGGATTAAAACTGGTACTGTGTATTTACAGTGCTGAAATCAGTTGTATAGATATAAGATCAGTTGTAGACTCATATTGTTGGGATCAGCTGTAGACTCATATTGTTGGGATCAACTGTAGACTCATATTGTTGGGATCAACTGTAGACTCATATTGTTGGGATCAACTGTAGACTCATATTGTTGGGATCAGTTGTAGACTCATATTGTTGGGATCTACTGTAAACTCATATTGTTGGGATCAACTGTAGAATCATATTGTTTGGATCTACTGTAAACTCATATTGTTGGGATCTACTGTAGACTCATATTGTTTGGGATCAACTGTAGACTCATATTGTTGGGATCTACTGTAAACTCATATTGTTGTGATCAACTGTAGACTCATATTGTTGGGATCAGTTGTAGACTGATATTGTTGGGATCTACTGTAGACCTTTATTGTTGGGATCAGTTGTAGACTCATATTGTTGGGATCAGTTGTAGACTCATATTGTTGGGATCAACTGTAGACTCATATTGTTGGGATCTACTGTAGACTCATATTGTTGGGATCTACTGTAGACTTATATTGTTGGGATCAACCGTAGACTCATATTGTTGGGATCTACTGTAAACTCATATTGTTGGGATTTACTGTAGACTTATATTGTTGGGATCAACTGTAGACTCATATTGTTGGGATCAACTGTAAACTCATATTGTTGGGATCTACTGTAGACTCATATTGTTGGGATCAACTGTAGACTCATATTGTTGGGATCTACTGTAAACTCATATTGTTGGGATCAACTGTAGACTCATATTGTTGGGATCAACTGTAAACTCATATTGTTGGGATCTACTGTAAACTCATAATATTGGGATCAACTGAAGACTCGTATTGTTGGGATCGACTGTAGACTCATATTGTTGGGATCAACTGTAGACTCATATTGTTGGGATCTACTGTAGATTAATAGTTCTGGGATCATATCTGGTACTCTGTGTTCATGTTGCATTGATCAACTGTATGCTTATAGTGCAGGGATCAACTTTAAATTCATAGTGCTGGGATCAACTTTAAATTCATGGTGCTGTGATAAACTATGTTCATAGTGCTGGGATCAACTTTAAATTCATAGTGCTGGGATCAACTTTAAATTCATAGTGCTGGGATCAACTTTAAATTCATAGTGCTGGGATCAACTTTAAATTCATAGTGCTGGGATCAACTTTAAATTCATGGTGCTGTGATAAACTATGTTCATAGTGCTGGGATCAACTTTAAATTCATAGTGCTGGGATCAACTTTAAATTCATAGTGCTGGGATCAACTTTAAATTCATGGTGCTGGGATCAACTTTAAATTCATAGTGCTGGGATCAACTTTAAATTCATGGTGCTGTGATAAACTATGTTCATAGTGCTGGGATCAACTTTAAATTCATAGTGCTGGGATCAACTTTAAATTCATAGTGCTGGGATCAACTTTAAATTCATGGTGCTGGGATCAACTTTAAATTCATAGTGCTGGGATCAACTTTAAATTCATGGTGCTGTGATAAACTATGTTCATAGTGCTGGGATCAACTTTAAATTCATAGTGCTGGGATCAAAAGTAGATTCAAAGTGCTGTGATAAGCTATGTTCATAGTGATGGGATCAACTATGGATTCACAGTGCTGTGATAAACTATGTTCATAGTGATGGGATCAACTTTAGATTCACAGTGCTGGGATCAACTGTATGTTCATAGTGCTGGTATTTTATTTGGGATCTCAAACCATGAATTTTAAAAGTGCCTCGAGCAGATTTGATACATCACATTCTAATTGCCGATTGAAAACGATACTTTATGATACTGAAAAGCACCCATAGTGGTGTGGCTAGATGTTTGCCTGCAGATCTCAAGGTCATAGTTTCAAATCTGCATGTAGCTGGATCCCCTCCCCCCCACCCCCAAACATGACCTTGGCTGTCAGGTCAACCCAGTCTTAAATGAGTAGCAGGTAAAATCCTGGGAAGTAAAGGCAGCCAGCATGATATTGGCAACATCACCCTTCCATGGCGCCGATTGGTCTGTACAGATATGAGTCTAGCCTTATATTCCCAATGTGCCACTGGTACCCTGTCCCTACCTGGTACTGTATTTCCAGTACAGGGTTCACATCTAGTATTATACATTCACAGTGCTGGTATCAAAATTCATACCTTTTTCAATTTGAGACAAATGCAGTACATGTGAACCACTCTGCTCCATTTTGCTATCATGTCACCACTATATTGTTCTTTTGTTTTTAAATTTGAAGAATATACAATGCTTGTTTCATTTTCTACAGGTTATAAATGGGTCTCCACTGTCGCCACTACAGCTGTCACCTCCATCCTCAAGTTTTGACCAAGATGGAGTGTTTATAATGTCCAGTGACATTCAGGAAGCCTTGGGTAAATGCATGTCTTAGTTTTTTTCTTCTTTTTTTTGTCGTCACGCTGCTACTGGGTTGTAGCCCAGTGTTGTGTGTGGTCTTCTGTATTTGTTTTACATTTCTCACATGGCTTGAGATTTGTTCATTTTTGTTTTTTGTTTTGTTTTTTGTTTTGTTTGCAGATTTCAGCTACTTTGTCTGACCCTCTTCTCCTTGGTCTTCCTCTCACTTTCCATCAGATTTTCTGCTGTAGAAGGTCTCATGAACAGTTTAGTCTGGCTGCATTCTTACTAGGTGGCCAAACCACTTCATTCTGTCTTTCAGTATGAGAAAGGTGGAGACAGGCATGCTCCATGCAGAGTGGCAGGCATCACTTCAGAGGTCCTGGGTGGTTAGCCTTCTTTAGATATTTTCTCCAGGTTATGCCGGTGTGTTGGGAAATGAGCAGGCAGATAGACTGTTTGGTGGTGAATTGATGTATGACAAGCTGGATGTTGTGAGGGCTCTTTGGGAGCAATGGAACAGTGTGGAGGCACAGACAAATCATTTTGGTCTGGGGAGAATGGCGCTGCGACGAGTTATAGGGGAATCTGGCCGGCGCTCCACACTCAGGGGAGAGGTGAGACGGATATACAATCAGTTAGTTACTGGTGCCATTGGAACTCTTTGCTTACTGCTGAAGATGGGGATGGAGCACTTATGGGGGTGCTGTGATATAGATTCTTCTTAATTCAGCATTCACCATTCAACATTCAGTTTGATTCAGGCATTGTCTTCTTTCACCTTCTGTCCAATGCTTGTATTTGTGACCTGCCCTTCTTGTATTGTTGGTGACTTTTCGGAAACTGCATTTGGCAGGTAGTTATTTTCTGTTCCTGTGATAAATTTAAAGTCCTTGTATGTCCCTGATAGCGCAAAGTGGGGATAAAGATGCTATCAGTCATTTATTGTTTTAAAAATAGAACTGCTGGTCTCCCTCGCCCCTTCTAATTAGTGGTGTTTTCCTTCAAAGTCAAAGTGGATCTGCCAGAGAGGTGAGAAACCAGCTGCCTACTTACAAATAAGCCAGATCTGTATAGCAGATATGCATGCAAAACTCAAGTTCTGGAACAAGGCCAAAGTCCAGAAGTGGATGAACAATCATAATTTTCCACCTGAGTTTACAGCTGGTGAACATGAAGAAGAAGATTTATTGTTTTGCTGGAAGGGGACATTTAGGTGAACTATTTTTTTAAACCACAGCGTTTTAAATATTTTCTTTTGATGATGCACTAAAAACACTTTGGAGTACCTACTTCTCAGCCCGTGTCATGTTTTATGTCTGTGATTTCTCTTGGATTGTTCTGTTTCCTTATCATGGACTGCTTTTTTTGTACATTCAAACACATGATACTGTGTTCTTCTCATAGGAGCAGCATGTATTGTGGTTGTGCTATGTTGGGGCGGGAAAATGACGGATAGTTTTGGCAGCTTTGACCAAGCTGCCTTCGCAGTGTTTTGATCACAGTGGCCCAATATCCAGGAAGGCAGAATCTCGTCAGCAATGGACTGCAACTGTCTAGAGAGCAAACTCATTAAAAGCTGTCCCCAGAAACTGTTCCCAGAGGTCTGGTTTGTGCCTAAGGTATTTGCTTTGTCTTCTTGGGCACAGCTCATGCAGCCTTCTCAGGCACATTGACAGAGATTATTCAACAAAGCAATTGTTAATATGAACAAAACGTTAAGAACACTTAACTGCTGTTTATTGACTCAGACATTGTTCTCCTTAGTCAATGAGCCAGAGGTAAGTTGTGTAGGTCATAGGCTACACAAGACCAGTCTAATTATTATCATTACCTGGACACATTACCTGGACAGAGTTCTCATGTCAGTATACTAACTGTAATTCTACACAGTTGTATAAAACTGTGGAATGTGCCACATACATTTTAGTATGATCTCTGGCTTTTGCCTTATAGATGACAGTATGAGCAATGGTATGTGCCTCACACAGCATAGTTTGAGCTCTTGTAAATGCCCCATACATCAAAGTATCAGCTGTGATATCTACCTTGTATATGTACCTTGTACACAGTTGTATAAAACAGGAATGTACCACAGACATTTTAGTATGGGGTCTAGTAAATGCCGTATACATTGTGATATGAGCATTGGTATGTGCCTCATACAGCATAATATTAGATCATCATCTCGTAATTGCCTCATACATCATGATATGAGCTCTTGTATGTTCATCCTTTATCAAGGAAATAATTTTTTCCTCCTGGCTAAGCTGTTTTATCCCATTTTGTGCAGAAACAAGATGATTGTCTAATGATGTGATGGGAAATCAGTGTGCCTGCAAGATTAGTGGCTTTCTTGGTCATCCTTTGGACTATACCCAGAGCATTTTGTCTGCTTTGAATCTGACTACTTATGGAATCTTTGTAGAAACACAAGACAGACAACAGTTTAACAATTTGTACTGGACTTAAAGCTGAAGTCACGTAGGAGTTAAGTGCTTGCCAACAGAGACTGTTCTGAGTTACATTCCTAACATAAGCAGAAGGATTTTTCCTGACCAGTTTGATTCTTATGTTGACCCATCTTAAAGGGGTGGATATCACAGCTTAGCTGTAAACCCCTACATAATATGCACAACTGCCCTCGTAAGGGTAAAAGAGGAAGAAGAAGCGCTAGTTGCAAAGGAAAAGGTAATCCACCCCTTTCAGTTTGATAAGTTTTAAGAAAACTTACAGTTTTTACAGAAAAGTGGGAAAGGGGAGGGGGCGAAAATGCATAGACCCTCTTATAGGGTGACAAAGGCTGTTCCATATGGGAACATTGATCATCTAATGCATTTAAAACCTTTTGTTTGCAAGCATACACACACACACAGTAACTTATACACTAATGTTTGTCCCTGTGTAAGTTCTGAGACCCCATTTTAGGGAGAAAAGAACAGACCCACTCACTAACCATCCTCCCCCCCCCCCCCTTTTTTTTTTCCTTTCTCAACAAGCGTGTCATAAAAGGGGACTAATTAGGGGTGTGTCCTTTAAAATCAGAGTGCCTCTGCCTGAGAGATGAGGAACCAGCAGTCTGTATGCAAAACTCAAGCTCTGAAACAAGACCAGAGTTCAGAAGTGGATGAACAACCAGAAATGTCCACCAGAGTTAACAGCTGGTAAACACTAAGAAGAAGAAGAGACTAATGTGTGTTATTTGCTTATGTTCATGTATATATTTTCCCAGAAAGCAATTCCAGTATTCATCTACACATGGGGAAGTATTTAGTGCCATCTCCATAATGGATGTTGGCTGCAGTCAATATGTATATCCACAGTAGCCTTTGGGCATTTTACCTCGTGAACCCCAATCTCTTCCAAGGTGTGACTCTCATACCGTATTCTGATAGCCATGAGAACTCTTTTTTTGAACTGCCTCTTGTGGAAATCACACCCTTGTACATTGGGGATTAGGAAAGGCATTCACTCTGAGCCACAGAGCTACACACTCACACTATAAATAGTAGAGGTGTAAAAATCAACCATTTCAGATAGAGATTAATGTCACAGAGATTAATGTCACAGAGATTAACGTCACAGAGATTAACATCACAGAGATTAACATCACAGAGATTAACATCACAGAGATTAATGTCACAGAGATTAACGTCACCATATTGAAAGATTCTTTACAAGAATGATCACTGCCATGAGGAACAAAATTATGGTAAATTAAAAATAAAATTCTTCTGCTGAAAAAATACCTGGAGGCAGCGGAGATGTTGTTTTTGCGTGAAGAATGCTATAGAAGATCAGAGGTGGTACTGAAAACATTTATATTTGAGAGTTACAAATGTTACTAGAACACTCATTCAAACCATAAATAAAAGGAAATAAAATTTAAAGGGACATAAGAACATAACAGACCTAAAAGAGAGATTAGTCTTATGTGGTAGATACTAGGCAAAATGATTGGCAAGATACGGGCATAAGGACTGGCTAGTCCCGCACCACTGCTTGTTGCATGACAAGCTAGATGCTTCCAAGACTCTCTTTGAGAGTCAGTGAACTTGCTGTGGCGCAAATGTGCAGTCGGCAGTGACCAGGGTATATATATATATATATATATATATATATATATATATATATATATATATATATATATATATATATATATATATATATATATATATATATATATATATATATATATATATATATATATATATATATATATATATATATATATATATATATATATATATATGAATGGAAACACTGAGCAACAAATCACACAAACAACTTCAAGACAAAATAAAATGACAGAGGATTTTGAAGTTACGATCAGGAGCGCTGAATTTTGTGTGTGGGCATAAACAGCATATGGATTTTCTGTCACAGATATTAAAGTGTGCGAGGTAATGAGTAGGCTGGTAGATTGGCTGCTGCCTCTCCTCTGGACGGTGAAATGTTTTATGAAAAAGCAGATGTAGTGGAGGCTCTATGGGAAAAAATGAACAATGCTTAATCCACTAAGAAAGAACAGGTGGGGAACCCATAGACTGAAAGACTAATTCAAGTGGGCGGTGGAAAATGGGAGTGGTAGGGTTGAGTAGAGGTCAGGAAGATATTCAACCTTAAAGGCGAAACAGAGATCCTTGATTCAGACTTGTGAAAACATAATCAGTGCTGTGATGAACAAATTATTGAGGTACGCTATTCTGATTTTGTATATGTGTCTATATGTCAGTGCGCTGTCACTAATTCGTTAATTCATTTATTCTCACACATACACGTGTGTGTGCATACGGAAAAAAAAATTTGTTTTCTGTTTTTTTTTTTCCAAAGCAAATTAAGGACCTAACATCCATCACACATTTTTATAGACCAGTTTGTTTCTTGCTGGGTGATATGGTTAATATTCTGCCAGCCACTTTTACTTCCAACGTTTTCTTCATTCTTTTATTTTTTAATTAAAAATTTTTAAAATAAAATATATAAAAGATCCAACTGGATGCAGTTTCGAGCTCAAGACCTTGAGTCCAAGTGTCTAGCCACAACACTTCAATAGCTGCTCTTAACATTAAACCTGGAGAAACACATGAAATGTGACTTTCTCTTATCACTTACTTTTGAATCCATGCCATTTTTCAATCTCTTACTCTTATTTACATTCAGTCTGAACATACAAAAGAAATCTATAGTTGTTTCCACTGTCTATTTAGTCTGTTTAAAAGTGATGCATTCAGCAAGTTTCAAAGTGGTTCTGTCTCATGTGTGCTGACTCCATGAAAATGGACAACTGGGAGCCTAAAACATGTCAGACTTTATAGAAGTAGATTACTCTTTTTCTCTTTTCTTTTGCTTTTCAACTTTCAGTTGAGTAAAAAAAGTAAAGGTTCCTTTTCCACGCCTTTTAGGCGTATTGGGTATATACCGCTAGACCTATTTTTTATAGACCAGCGGCACAAGATGGGTGATGTGGTCATCATCACGCCGGCCGCCTTTACTTCCCAGGACTGGCCCTGGTACCCACTCAAGGCCGGGTCGACCTGGGAGTCAAGGTCATTTTTGAAAAAAGTCAGTCTCTGCCAGGGAGCAAACCCATGACCTTCCGATCCGCAGGCGAGCGTTTAGCTGCTATGTGTTGAACTAAAAACTGACATCACAGTACTCGGGACATTTCTACAAGTGCTCTAGCTTTATTTTTAGCAGCCTGTAGTTCTGATGATGCCAGTATGGTAGTGCTTATATGTCCATCTTTCCTTCCTCCTGGTCACTCCCGGATGTTCCATTCTCTCCAGACCATAATGATCTATTCATGTCTCCGCATTTCATCTTCCAATGGAGTTTAGACCTTCAACCAGTTTCTGTCGATCTTTGAGTTATCTTGTCATTGATTGGTTACATTTTAAAGTTGAACTGTACACCGTCTCACACCAACCTTACTTAGTCCTTATGACATGCATGGTGAGTTACAGTGTAGATGTTTTTACTTTTTGGTAGTCTCAGTAGGGTGCAGTGATAACACAGTGGTTAGATACACTCCTGCCAGCCCAAATGTCTGGTGGTTCAAGTTGACAGTCACAGTTTTTTAATATTTAACCTGGGCTCCGGGGCCATCTCAGCCTAAAATGAGTATCAGGAAATGCCCTGGGAAGTAAAGGTGGCCAGTGTGATGTTGACATCATCCATTGAGCACTGAGTGGTCTAAATTAATAGGTCCGGCACCACTCTTCGCAAGCTGCCCAAAATAAAAAGGGCAGAGTGTTTATGGGAATGTTCAGAGTGCTAATGGAAATGTTCAGAGTGCTAATGGAAATGTTCACAGTGCTTATGGGAATGTTCAGTGTGCTTATGGGAATGTTCAGTGTGCTTATGGGATTGTTTAGAGTGTTTATGATTTGGTTGTTAACTCAACTCATAATTTTTTTTAAATATAATTTTTATCCGACTTTAATATGGGCTTGATAACAGATTGGCAAAATGGCAGAATCTTTTCAAGTAGCTGATGTATTTTCACAGAGAAATCTCTCAGGAAGTGCTTGAAGAACAAGAACTCACGCTGAGGAAGAGATTAGAGGAAGAACTGGCAGCCCAGAGACAGTGTGTGTATAACAATCTTTGTGAGGAGGTAGTAGATGACGGTGTTGCAGTTATGACTAAAGAAATGGCAGAGGAAGAAATGAGGTATGTAGTGTGCCATGATATGTACAAGAAAAGTTGATAGTGACATGAATGAAGTGTGTAGTGTATCGTAATATGTATATAAGATTTAGCATGCAAACATTGAGTGATTTTAACTGGGCAGACTCCCAGTGTGGGTTCTGGGACCCATTGTGAGAGGGGGAGAAAGAAAGAATAGACCTACGGCTTCCCTATCTAGGGCTTCTTGTGGGGAGGGGGGAGAAAGAATAGACCTACGGCTCCCCTATCTGGGGCTTCTTGTGGGGAGGGGGGAGAAAGAATAGACCTATGGCTCCCCTATCTGGGGCTTCTTGTGGGGAGGGGGTGAGAAAGAATAGACCTACGGCTCCCCTATCTGGGGCTTCTTGTGGGGAGGGGGGAGAAAGAATAGACCTACGGCTTCCCTATCTGGGGCCCGTTGTGGAGAGGGGGAAAGGAAGAATAGACCTACTGCTCCCCTATCTGGGGCCCCTTGTGGGGAGGGAGAGGAAGAATAGACCTACTGCTCCCCTATCTGAAACCCTTTGTGGGGAGGGGGAAGGAAGAATAGACCTATGGTTCCCCTATCTGGGGCTTGTTTGTGGGGGGGGGGGAAGAAAAGACCTACTGCTCCCCTATCTGGGGCCCACTGTGGCTTCTATACCGTATGAATCTCCATTATGTAGCAGGTCCTTTGCAGAACGTCCCTTTCATCAGGGTCTTTCTGAAAGAGACTAGATCTCTTGCCAGCTTTCCCGTACCAGGCAATTTCATATCCAAGGGTAACTTATATCCTGTGCCCATCTTTGTGTTGGTCGGCCCCTGCCCCTCCTTCCTGGTACCATTTGCTCATCCTTCTATTATTATTTTTCCAATCAGCTATGGCGCTTGATATGGCCAAAATATTTTAGCCTCTGAGACAGCCAGAATGTTGTTTATTAGCCAGTCTTCCTTGATGTTCATGATATTCTGAGAATCTTTCAGTAGCATCTCAGCTCAGAAAGTATGAATTGCTTGTGTAGTTTCTCTTGTTGGTATTTCCTACAACTACAAATACACATATTTCTTCTGTGACTTGTCACAGATTGGTCAAAGCAGAACTTCACCGTCAGCGCTTGGAGCGATGCAGCCAGCAGTGTAAAGATGACTTGCTTGTTGAAGTGGTTGATGAGGTGATAGAGGAGGTGGCCATGGAAGTGTATGACGTGGATGTGGTGATGAAGCTGGACAGGCTGAATGCCACGGAAAAGATTGTGAAGACTTTGAGATGTAGAAGATTCTTGCAGGTTTGTATTTGTATGTCTTAATTGATTAGTCAACCGATTACTAGTGTATTATTATATTGTTCACATGTTACTGTATAGTACCAGTATATTCAATGAGTATGATCCGGAGGGTTCAGGCAGGTTCAGTGTGAAGACAATGGCTTGAATCATTACAGAAGTCCACTGTGCGTGGAGTCACCTTTATTTTTGTTCCGGGACACGCAGGCGTCGATGGAAATGAAAGAGCTGACAGGTTGGCTGGATCCGCTATCACTACCGACGGTCGGCCTATGGATCATGCTGATATTATCAATGCCCTCAGAGAAATGGGAAGGGTAGAGGACTTTGGTGGCAGTGAATCCACATCACTCGCCAGAATGGCAGACTTGGGAATTAAGATCGGCACAGCAAAAAACCAGACGCACACCGGACACGTCAGAAGACTTGTTAATCAACATAGAACTGGTACTATTAGCCATCGGACGTTGGGGTTCATACTGAGGGGAGGATCTGAGCACCTATGGACATGTCCGGAGTGCAATGACGATAACCCAACTAACTAACTAACTAACTAAGTACTAGTATATTTCTTCAACCTTGGTTCTCTGATGTTTTAATGCTACTTTCCCTTGTGTTAGTCCACATCCCTGTTGCACTCCCATATAGTAAAACTGTGAGGTAAGAACTGACATCATAGCGCTCGGGACATTCACATAAAGGCTCTATCCCCACCTTCAGCAGCAAGTGCAGAGTTTCCCTTCTCATGGTACCAGTAACAGTCTGATTATATGTCAGCCTTCCCCCTTTACTGAGTTGAGCTGAGTCAAGAATTCACATCACAGCACTCAGGGGATTCTCATACGTGCTCTGTTCCCATCTTCAGCAGCCAGCGCAGAGTTATGGTACTGATCGTAGTCTGGTTATATGTCCGTATGTGCAGTGAGCCGGTCAGACCTCCTGGTCATGCCCAGATGCATCATTCCCTCTCAGCACAGAGCCATCTTTATAGATAATCAGATCATCTAGACGAGAATTGTCATGAATCAACTGTTGGACTTCGACCTCTGTAAAACCCCCCCCCCCGGCCACTCTCTGCACTACTGCACTCCGTGCCCCATGTGATCATGACCCCACACAGGTCATACTTTTCCTCTTGTACTCTATTCACACCTCTCCTTTCCTCGCCCAATGTTCTTCAGCAAGCATACTGGTCTTATTGTGTCTTCTGCTTGAGCCATCCCTGATTTATCCCTTTTCAGCCTCTTACCCTTAGCTGCAGCCAAAGCTTCATACAGAGGGTGTTTTTTGTCTGCAGCTACTCTAAGGTATGACTAAGCCCACAGCACTTTTAGCCTTTCTACAATAGTCGGCAATGCATGTCCATTGCTGTCATAATCTTTAGTGCATTTGGACCTTTTCGGGCCCTTGTCACAACCTCCTCTGTGTGATCCCTGAAAGACAAGCTACTGTCAATGGTGATTCTCAGGTGCCATAGTCTGCTGTTTCTCTTGATGTCCCTGCCCTTAATTTTCAGTCTTGTAACATCAGTCCTAACAATTCTGTTGTCCACAAAACACCACAGGATTGTTGCAGTTTCTGGCACATGGGGTGTATTTCTCAGTTACTGCGATACTATCTTGCTCTGGTGATCAAACCATTTGCCTCTCCTTGGAAAATCACTTAATTCATATTTGTGGAATTTTGCCATCCTGCAGGATCAGTATTCAGCTTATCTTTATTTAATTTATATCTGTTTATTTGTTTCACTTATTTATACTCCCCCCCCCCTCCCCCCCCCCCTTCCCCCCTCTTTTTTGTGCTTTCATTAACATGGCCCCTTTATATCTTTTCATATTTCATATATGGTCTTCCACATTGACCACAGTTTGTAAGTTATTTTGTTGTAAAGACTGAACAGAATGTTCCATTGTATTTGTGCATGTTGTTTCCATTCCCTTTTTTCAGCTTTCTTGACAGTTTGTATTATATTTATGCTTATAAAGGCTTTGTATGACCACACATATTATCTGTTGACTATGTATGAATCTGTGACCATTTCTGTAGATGGAACAGACGTGAAGAAAAAAGAAATTCAGAAATCAAATTGAATCTTTATAAATCTTCACTTCATTGTTTTGACTTAAGATAAATCTGTTATCTGTGAAAACGAGTGTACTGTTGACATCTGAGTCTGTCAGTCAGGGTTTCAACTTCATCGCAAAAAGGTCACCCGATAATTGCTGCATTCACAAAATGCCTGTTACTGTTCCATGTAAAAAAGTAAAATAGACAGCAGTTCCGGAAAAATCCAGCTTGCACAAGCATTAAATGTATGAGGCAGCCGCCAGCCCATCGTCATTTCCTGAATATTCAGATTAAAGCACCCATCTCCGGGAGTACAGACTATAAGAATTAACATGAAATTCACAGCTCAGTGTCGTACCATGTACATATCTCAGTAGCTGGTTGACAGATTCAGATTTCATCTTTAGTTCATTTGTTATCCCATCCAGTTTCCCAATGGGGGATGGAACCTCATTCTTCCACTGGATTACTGGGGAGAACAGGGTCCACCACTTGAAGGTGAAGCAGGCTTGAGCAAGAGAGGCTGAGATATTAAGAGTCTTGTATTGCACATTATTTTCCAGTATGACCCAATTTTAAAATGGTTTAAAAAAAAAGTATTTACTATAAAATGTAAAGGACCCCCCCCCCCCCCCCCCCCCCCCCTTCCTGCCAAGATGCAAGATTCATATTTTTACTGACCTGTTGACACACTGTGGGGGAAGACGGTCATCATGCCAACCACCTTAACTTACCTATTACTCATTTTAGGCTAGCTTGACCATGAGCCCAGGATAGTTTTGACAAAAAATCCCCAGTCTGAAATAGATTGGAACCCAGTCTTTGGGCTGGCAGGCTAGCATCCAAATACTACTTAGTTGCAGCTTCCTTTGTTACAATGTAACTTTTACATGTTTCCTTACTACACTGCTGCAGCTTTTTTTGTTACAATGTAACTTACATGTTTTCTTTTCAAAAGATTTGGAGAAAGAAATATATGGCTGAGATTAGAGCCAAACGGTCTTTGCTGGACTTTCCCAGTGCACCTTCAATTAAAGCAATTGGTGAACAAATACATGAGCTAGTGCCACACCGGCCGGACACAAGGATCTCCCACAAGTCATTTTACATCGGTGAAAGGTGAGTCTATTTCTGTCAGGTAATTATGCTCTATAGTGTTGTAATGTAAGTAGGTGGCAGTTTACAAATACAGGCACTACACCTAGGAAATCCCCAGAAGTACAAATACAGGCACTACACCTAGGAAATCCCCAGAAGTACAAATACAGGCACTACACCTAGGAAATCCCCAGAAACAAAACATTCAGAATCTTTTTCTTCTAAATGTTCACTGGCTATAAACTCTGGCAGAAAGTTCTGGTTGTTTATCCACCTCTGGGTTTTAGTCTTGTTCCAGTGAGTGTTGTGTACACACCCATTTTAGCAGTCTGATTTACTTGCTGGTTCCTTGCCTCTCATGCAGATGCACTCCAACTTTGAAGAAACCCCCCAAATTATTCGACTCTTACAACAGACCTGTTGGGAAGGCAGTGGGTCTATTGTTGTTTTTCCCCACAGTGGGACCCCAGAGCCAACACGAGGAAGCTTTATTCACAAACAAAGAGCTAGAGAACCCTTGAGATCATAGAAACGGTATGATAAACATCTAAACATGTATTGATTTGCACTCTGATAAATAAAAAAAAGCAGTTATATAGGAGGAACCAAAAGATAACATAAAAATAAAAAGCTATAGTAAGCCTACTACGACTCAGGTCTGTCGCTTGCTATTGATGATGGCACCTTGCTGCACAAACATGTGTACTTCAGCACATGACTAACTTGACACCCCCAAAAGGGAAGCAAAGAATAGTAACTTTAATCGGCTGTGCATGCCGTAAGAGATGACAAGGTGAGGCCGGCTACCTCATCCTATAGTCCTCTTCTTTTCCACTTTCACCAGCTGTAAACTCTGGTGGATGGTCCTGGTGGTTTGATCACTTCTTGACTTTGATATTGCTCCATGACTTGAGTTTTGCATGCACATCCCTTTTACAGATCTTACATTTGTCCTTTTAATGTGCAGAATCTTGGTTCCTTTACTGCCTCTCAGGCAGATGAGCTCTGACTTCGATTAAGTCATCAATCTTATCTATGTCCTATGGTTGGAAGCCTGTTTCTAGGATGACTCAATGGTGGTGGAGAAAGGTCTTGACCAGTGTCAGCTCTGGTACTGATGCACCACCATGTGTGGTTCTGCATCTGGACAGGGAAGTAGAAAATAGTAACATTGTTACCTTTCATGCATGTCATAAAAAGTGACTGCCAAAGAGGAAGCAAACAAATAGTAACATTGATACCTGCCATGCAAGTCATAAGAGGTAAATTAGTGAAACTGGCTGCCACGGGTTAACCTGAGCTTCAAAATCTAACCAATCTTGAACAAAGAAGATACAAATAGATTGTACAGTTTATTACCTGCTGTATCTTATCATTTGCACACTACATTAACAATTATTTAAAATGAAGCAAAGAAGTGCATCCTTCTGACTGAAACATAAAATCGACCACATTAAGAAGTAACTTCCCTTTTCACAGGGGCAAACACAGGTTCACAACCATTTCCTTTTTTCTACATAATTCTGGACTGAACCGTCTGGTCTCCCAGTCTTGAACTTGCCTACAGTGGGCTTGGCGTCATTTGACTGAGCAACTGTGTTGCATTGGGGAATGAAAGACAGCAGATGGAAGATTAAGAAGCATCATATTGACCACTCTGTGTGTTTCAGTTTTAGTAAAGGACCTTTTTTCTACACTATTGGTGCACCAGGCATAAGGAGCCAAACTTTTATTTGCATAGACCAGTCAGTGCCTGATGGGTAGTATGGTCAGCGATGGCCATTTTTACTTCCCATGATACTTGCTGGTACCCATATTAGGCCAGGTTGGCCTGAGAGCCAAGATCGATTGTAAAAAGTTTGCCTCGATGCAGATTTTAACATAAGCCAATGCGCTACTACTGTTACTCATTTTTTTGTTAATGTTCTGAAAGTGTGAACAGCAGTGTTAGAGGGAAGTGATCAGGGGATATGGCCAGCACTCCACACTCAGAGGAACAGCAAGACAGACATACAACCAGACTGCTACTCTTTGCTGGCTGCTGAAGATAGGGCTGGAGCACTTATGGACATCCAGAGTGTTGTGATGTTAGTTCTTGAAACTCTTTTCAACTTTTAAAATTATTTTGGTCCTTCAAGGCCTTGTAACAAAAATGAGTTTTGCTTTAATAAAATATTGCCATGAAAAATCTAAGCCCTTGCTATGTTGTAGGGAAAAAAATTAATAAAAGATACCTCTGTTGTTGCCAGATTTATTTAGTATACACTGACCAAAACTTAAATACAAGAAAACACTAGATATGATGTTTGAGACGTTTAGGGAATAGTCAGTAACACATCATGTATTGTTTGGTTATGATAGTGTTAATACTACATGAAGTCACAAGATGTAATCTCCTCTACTATTGCCCACAGAGCACAACTGAGCATTGAGTCACCTATGGATGTGATTCAAGACCAGCTTCACCTGAATGTTCATCTCTCCATGGCTTCAGCTCGTCACATGCTTAATAACTTGGTCATGTGGCGCCCTCTGGATGTCACCAACATTGTCAACGCTCCGTTACAGCGAGCATTCCAAAGCTGGAAGGATAGAGGACTTATTGGTAATGGTTCTGATTATATTAGCATCTCACTTTAGATTACTATGTTGCCTGATGAGAGAGTCATTTCACAAAAAACGAGCGCATACAGAACGCGGCTATGCGGGTCATTCTGGGTTGCACCAGAGACACCCCAGTGGTGTGTATGCGATACATCCTTAGTTTGCCGATGGTTGCAGGTAGACACAAGGTGCTGCAGGCGAAGTCATATCTCAGGGTAGCTGCACACACATACCACCCTCTGCATGAAGCTCTGGGTCCAGTTAAGGGTCAGCGGCTGATAAGAGGGAGGTCATGGATGGCTCAGGCAGAAGACACAGACAGGTTTGCATCCTTGAGAACATTAGGCGAGGAGAGGAGTGGGTCAAAGTGCCACCTGAACAGTCAGACATGTGTAGAGTCATAATCACGCTGAGCCGGGAATGCAGAGACTGGTCAGCAGGTGCCACAGAGGTGGAAATTCAGCAATTAATTCAAGATAATGCTCGCTCAGAGGATTTGATCATTTACACAGACGGTTCAGTGTCAAGAGGCAAAAGAAGTGCTTGGGCTTCTTAGCAAAAGTTAATGGTCGACATTTGGTGCAGGAGAGCCTAGCATATGATACCACAACATCCAGCTTAAGAATGGAGGTGGAGGCGGTCACTGCAGCTTTCCGCTGGCTAGAGAACACGACACACACACACATTGTGATTGTAACTGATTCAGATAGCATGCTGAAATGAACAGGCAGACAGACTGGCTGGCTCTGCACAACTTGGTGGGATACTGATACATGATAGGGCGGACGTGGTTAGTGCCTTGTGGGAGAGCGTGTACAATTCGAATCACCAGATGGATCACCACAGTTTGGTGAGATTGATGCAGTTGTGGGTGACGAGAGGTTCTGGCAGAAGCTCGAGGCTCAGAGGAAAGGCAAGACGGACGTTTAATCAGAAAGCTACTGGCACCATTAGTATCGGAACTCTTCGCTGGCTGCTGAAGATGGGGACGGTGCGCTTATGGGAATGCCCCGAGTGCTGTGATGTCGGTTCTTGAATCAAATCAAATCAAATCAAATCATTGCACTTCCTAAGGCGTCATTGCACAAGAGTGTTGATGTGTACAATCAATGGAGCTACGTGAACCTTTGTAAGACACAGGACTTAACAAGTAGGCTTTTTAGAAGTGTAGGAAAATGATGAGGGGGAAAAGGGATTTAACTAGAGAAAAAGAGAGGTGCCAGGAGATAAAGAGGGGGTAGAGAAAATTATGGAGAGGGGTAGATAGAAAGAGGGTAAAGGAGGAGGCCAGAGATACCATATTATATTTATAGTTAGAATAACATTCATCCATGAATTTGGGAAATGTAATCTGTATATGTAGTGATATGTATGTCGGCGTCTGTTGCAAATGTGCTTCATAATACAGGAGTGCAGACAGTTAGGCAGCAGACCACATTGCTTTGATTTTGACAGTGGTTTCGAGAGCTGACCGTGCAGTAAGCGGTGGCAGACTACTGAATGTAAATGTACCTAGAAAAAACTTCAACAGCCAAAAAAATTTTAGGGTTGGTTCTGCAATGTCCTATAAAAGACATGCAGCTAAATGTAAAGTGTTTGACTTGAATATAAAGCTGTAATTTTGAGGTAAAGTGAAAATTCTGTGTCACACAGCCCATAATGACTTCCAGGTTACATAAGTAAAAAGAAGTAAAGTAAAGATCCCTTTTCACGCCTTTAGGCGCATTGGACATATGGGAAGAGCACCCAAATTTTTACAGACCATCGACACTAGGATGGTAATGTGGTCAGCATTATGCTGGCCGTCTTTACTTCCCCAGGACATCCAACCTGGTACCCATTTTAGGCTGGGTTGAGCTGCAATGCCCCATACCATGATAAAAATCCACGCAGCTAGCAATGGGTTTTGATCACGGTATGTTGGAATTGGGAGTCGGACTCACAATGCCTAAGCCACAGACGCCGCCTAATTTAAATAGGTACAGCAAAAAATGTAAGTTTCAGAATTGACCTTCAGAAGATAAACGTCAAATGATAGATTCATTTTTTTTAAAATTGAGTATTTTAGAACCAGACATATTAATTTGATTTTTTCATTGCGTTATTCATAATTATGTGTTCTAATTTGTTCTTAACCAATTATTTCAGACAAGATAATTCATTTTTAACTATAAGACCCAGACAAGATAATTCATTTTTAACTATAAGACCCAGACAAGATAATTCATTTTTAACTATAAGACCCAGACATGATAATTTATTTTTAACTTTATATTTAAGAACCAGGCACAATATTTCTTGTTTTAAACTACAAATGTGAGAACTAGACATAATAATTTGTTTAATTTTGACTGCATGTTTCAGGTCCACACATATTCATTTGTTTTTTAAACCGCATTTTTCAAAATCACACTTTAATAATTATTTGGCTATCCTCCGAATAACGGGCACGAAAGATGGCGGCCACAAAATATCCTGACGAGCATCAGTCACGTGTCATGTGTTGTAAACATTCAAAAATTGGAGTCAAAACTAAACAGGAATGAAAAATTGTATATCAAATCGACTACTTACCGATAATTTTATGCCTTTATATCTAGAAATTATGGCACAGAAGTTGTAAATAGTGCCCGAAAATCTGCTGTTTGTGGCTGTTACGCCATTGAAACTCGGCTAAGTACGATCAGAACAAAGCGCGGCTCGTACTGGATTGGTAACGCAGCTTTCTTTTTAGTAGCATCCACAAACTGGCCATCCTCCAAATAACGGGCACAAAAGATGGCGGCCAATGCCGGCCAAAAACATTGCCTCAGTCACGTGTCAATTCAAACTTCCGGCGACTTAATTTGCGGTTTTCCAGCGGCTACCGCCACCGCCGAGAGTAGCCCCAGCGCCGCTCATGTGCGTGGATTGGGGCTAAACTAGATGGCTAGGATTCACGAGCAAAGCTGCAGGAGATGCGGAAGCTGCTGCTCGTGGGTCCCAGCCATCTAGTTTAGCCCCATCCGCTCCGCGCGGGGGAGACTCTCGGCGGCGAGTTTAACTCGGTGGTTTGTTCTGTTTCTCGAAATTGTCAACAGAGATTAATCCTAGTTTTCCCGCCATGTGCTCGTGACCGCAAGTGCGCAATTAACACGTGACTGAGGCTCGTCGGGATATTTTGCGGTCGCCCTCTTTAGTGCCCGTTATTCGGAGGATAGCCAATTATTTTAATTAAACTGCAAATTTAATAACAGACCAGTAGTTTGTTTTTGTTGCTACACAATATCACTCACTACATATTTGAGAATCTGACTTGAAATTATTTGTTTAATTTTAATTTTTAATTTTGTTGCAACTTTTAGAACCAGACACAACTTCCTTGCAGTGGAAACTGGTTCTCTCTCTGCCAAGTAAAGAACAAACCTCAACTAGTGAGGAATCCATGTTTTCCAAGTGGATCAGGACCAAACTTTGTAAAGGCCATGAACGGGAGGCATTGTTACAGTCCACACCTTCTTATGAAGTAAGTTAATACAAATGTTAAGAAGAAAAATATATGACTCAATCATTTTTATATTTAAAAAAAAAATTTTTTTTGGGTGTGAATATAGTGCTAATTCCTACAGTTTCCTGATCAAATAACACAAAGAGGATTCAGTTTATTCTTGATCACTGGCATTTGAAGTGGTATCCCATGTTTCTGTGTGTTAGGGTTAAAAGGCATTCGATTTCTGTCTTCCCTATTTCTGCACCAAATAGCACTAGAGGTAGATGTGCTGTGTCCCCTATTATCTGGACCAGACAGTTCTAGTTGTGATGGTGTCTTCTGTATTTTCCAACCAAACAGCTAGATATGATGTCTTCCATATTTTCTGGACCAGACATCTCTTGTTGTGATGTCTTCCTTATTTTCTGGACCAGACATCTCTTGTTGTGATGTCTTCCTTATTTTCTGGACCAGGCATCTCTTGTTATGATGTCTTCCTTATTTTCTGGACAAAAAGTGACTTGTTGTGATGTCTTCCTTATTTTTTGGACCAGACATCTCTTGTTGTGATGTCTTCCTTATTTTCTGGACCAGGCATCTCTTGTTATGATGTCTTCCTTATTTTCTGGACAAAAAGTGACTTGTTGTGATGTCTTCCTTATTTTTTGGACCAGACATCTCTTGTTGTGATGTCTTCCTTATTTTCTGGACCAGACATCTCTTGTTGTGATGTCTTCCTTATTTTCTGGACCAAAAGTCACTTGTTGTGATGTCTTCCATATTTTCTGGACCAGACGTCTCTTGTTGTGATGTCTTCCTTATTTTGTGGACCAGACATCTCTTGTTGTGATGTCTTCCATATTTTCTGGACCAAACAGCACTTGTGATTTCTTCCTTATTTTTTGACCAAACAGCTAGATGTTATGTCTTCCATACTTTCCTGACCAAACATCACTTGATGTTTTCTATTATAAGAGATCCTACTACTTCTGGGGATTGAACTTGGATGGAAAAATTTACATCACAGGCTTTAGCAGCTGGGAAACCAAAAATGATAGCAGTGTCTCTAATCTCAGTTATTAAAATATTAGAGTTGGAGTGCATCTGCCTAAGAGATAAGGAACAAGTAGTCTGCACACAAATAAGCAAGAACTTTTTTAAAAAAAGGGTGGGGGTGAGGGGTGCAGGTAAAACACAAGTCTTGGAACAAGACCACAGTGAATAAACAAGCAGAATTTGTCACCAGAGTTTACATCCAGTGAACAAGCAGAATTTGTCACCAGAGTTTACAGCCAATGAACAAGCAGAATTTGTCACCAGAGTTTACAGGCAATGAACAGGCAGAATTTGTCACCAGAGTTTACAGCCAATGAACGGGCAGAAGAAATTGTAAAGATGATTGTAGTAGTCATGTCAATAATGCTTGATGCATACCAGGAACCAGAGAAAGAAGATTGTGTTTCTCCCTCTTCCAATCATTATGGGAGAGACCAAGTCCTCCATTTTTTCTTTCGCAGTCTTGTGTGCTGCCTATGTCTTTCTTGTTCATCATTATCTCTTAAGTCATTTTAGGTCTCCCTTTATTTCTTTTACCCTGTTAGCTCACAAGAAACAACTTTCTGGCTATCTATTAAAAATTTTTTCCTATAACATATTTATAATAATAATTACTGAAATTTGTTTTTAAAACAATGTACAGGGGGAAGTCCTGAGCAAGTACCACATGAAAACTGGGCAGAAAGAAAGAGCAGGACTTTGTATCCGCTGCTTCCAAGGAGCCTGGTCTGATAATCAGGAGATCAGTGTGAGAAAGAAGGATCTGCTGAAGGGCACAAGTGCTGTGGTGTTCATTTTACCCTGTCTGGAGAGCCTTCAGGGCTTGAGCAAGTCTTTACAGGTAACTGCATGAGTAGTTTAGTAAAGCTACTTAACTAGACCAGTAGTATTTATTTCTTCATGTTTTTCTTGTATATCTTCAGGAGCAATTTGAAGGTTAACAGACTAGAAGTATTTGTTTTATAGGTATCTTCGTTTTTCTTCTTCTTCTGTATCTTAAAAGTACCCTGACTGGAAGTATTTGTTTTATAGTTATCTTTATTTCTTCTTCTTGCATATCTTCAGGAGTAGTTTGAAGGTTAACAGACTAGAAGTATTTGTTATATAAGTAACTTCCTCTATACGTTTTAAAGGTGTCAGACTAGTAGTGTTTGCATTACAAGTAACTTCCTCATTAGTTTTAAGGTTACCTGACCAGTAGTTTATTGTTTTTAGTAACTTCATCAGTCTGTTACTATGGTAATCAAAGTAGTAGTTGTTGTTTTGACTGTAACTTCATCAGTCTGTTACTATGGTAATCAAAGTAGTAGTATTTGTGTTCTAGATAGCTTCATCAGTAGTTTTATGGTTACTAGACCAGTAGTATTTGTGTTCTAGATAACTTCATCAGTAGTTTTATGGTTACAAGACCAGTAGTATTTGTGTTCTAGATAACTTCATCAGTAGTTTTATGGTTACAAGACCAGTAGTATTTGTGTTCTAGATAACTTCATCAGTAGTTTTATGGTTACAAGACCAGTAGTATTTGTGTTCTGGATAACTTCATCAGTAGTTTTATGGTTACGAGACCAGTAGTATTTGTGTTCTAGATAACTTCATCAGTAGTTTTATGGTTACTAGACTAGTAGTATTTGTGTTCTGGATAACTTCATCAGTAGTTTTATGGTTACAAGACCAGTAGTATTTGTGTTCTAGATAACTTCATCAGTAGTTTTATGGTTACAAGACCAGTAGTATTTGTGTTCTAGATAACTTCATCAGTAGTTTTATGGTTACAAGACCAGTAGTATTTGTGTTCTAGATAACTTCATCAGTAGTTTTATGGTTACAAGACCAGTAGTATTTGTGTTCTGGATAACTTCATCAGTAGTTTTATGGTTACGAGACCAGTAGTATTTGTGTTCTAGATAACTTCATCAGTAGTTTTATGGTTACGAGACCAGTAGTATTTGTGTTCTGGATAACTTCATCAGTAGTTTTATGGTTACAAGACCAGTAGTATTTGTGTTGTAGATAACTTCATCAGTAGTTTTATGGTTACAAGACCAGTAGTATTTGTGTTCTAGATAACTTCATCAGTAGTTTTATGGTTACGAGACCAGTAGTATTTGTGTTCTGGATAACTTCATCAGTAGTTTTATGGTTACGAGACCAGTAGTATTTGTGTTCTGGATAACTTCATCAGTAGTTTTATGGTTACTAGACTATTTGTGTTCTGGATAACTTCATCAGTAGTTTTATGGTTACTAGACTATTTGTGTTCTGGATAACTTCATCAGTAGTATTATGGTTACTAGACTATTTGTGTTCTAGATAACTTCATCAGTAGTTTTATGGTTACTAGACTATTTGTGTTCTGGATAACTTCATCAGTAGTTTTATGGTTACGAGACCAGTAGTATTTGTGTTCTGGATAACTTCATCAGTAGTTTTATGGTTACGAGACCAGTAGTATTTGTGTTCTGGATAACTTCATCAGTAGTTTTATGGTTACGAGACCAGTAGTATTTGTGTTCTGGATAACTTCATCAGTAGTTTTATGGTTACGAGACCAGTAGTATTTGTGTTCTGGATAACTTCATCAGTAGTTTTATGGTTACTAGACTATTTGTGTTCTGGATAACTTCATCAGTAGTATTATGGTTACTAGACTATTTGTGTTCTGGATAACTTCATCAGTAGTTTTATGGTTACGAGACCAGTAGTATTTGTGTTCTGGATAACTTCATCAGTAGTTTTATGGTTACAAGACCAGTAGTATTTGTGTTCTAGATAACTTCATCAGTAGTTTTATGGTTACGAGACCAGTAGTATTTGTGTTCTAGATAACTTCATCAGTAGTTTTATGGTTACGAGACCAGTAGTATTTGTGTTCTGGATAACTTCATCAGTAGTTTTATGCTTACTAGACCAGTAGTATTTGTGTTCTAGATAACTTCATCAGTAGTTTTATGGTTACTAGACTAGTAGTATTTGTGTTCTAGATAACTTCATCAGTAGTTTTATGGTTACGAGACCAGTAGTATTTGTGTTCTAGATAACTTCATCAGTAGTTTTATGGTTACAAGACCAGTAGTATTTGTGTTCTGGATAACTTCATCAGTAGTATTATGGTTACTAGACCAGTAGTATTTGTGTTCTAGATAACTTCATCAGTAGTTTTATGGTTACTAGACTATTTGTGTTCTGGATAACTTCATCAGTAGTTTTATGGTTACGAGACCAGTAGTATTTGTGTTCTAGATAACTTCATCAGTAGTTTTATGGTTACAAGACCAGTAGTATTTGTGTTCTGGATAACTTCATCAGTAGTATTATGGTTACTAGACCAGTAGTATTTGTGTTCTAGATAACTTCATCAGTAGTTTTATGGTTACGAGACCAGTAGTATTTGTGTTCTAGATAACTTCATCAGTAGTTTTATGGTTACTAGACTATTTGTGTTCTGGATAACTTCATCAGTAGTTTTATGGTTACGAGACCAGTAGTATTTGTGTTCTAGATAACTTCATCAGTAGTTTTATGGTTACAAGACCAGTAGTATTTGTGTTCTGGATAACTTCATCAGTAGTATTATGGTTACTAGACCAGTAGTATTTGTGTTCTGGATAACTTCATCAGTAGTTTTATGGTTACTAGACCAGTAGTATTTGTGTTCTAGATAACCACAGTAGTTTTATGGTTACTAGACTATTTGTGTTCTGGATAACTTCATCAGTAGTTTTATGGTTACGAGACCAGTAGTATTTGTGTTTTAGATAACTTCATCAGTAGTTTTATGGTTACTAGACCAGTAGTATTTGTGTTGTAGATAACTTCATCAGTAGTTTTATGGTTACAAGACCAGTAGTATTTGTGTTCTAGATAACTTCATCAGTAGTTTTATGGTTACTAGACCAGTAGTATTTGTGTTCTAGATAACTTCATCAGTAGTTTTATGGTTACTAGACCAGTAGTATTTGTGTTCTAGATAGCTTCATCAGTAGTTTTATGGTTACGAATACCAGTAGTATTTGTGTTCTAGATAACTTCATCAGTAGTTTTATGGTTACTAGACCAGTAGTATTTGTGTTCTGGATAACTTCATCAGTAGTTTTATGGTTACGAGACCAGTAGTATTTGTGTTCTAGATAACTTCATCAGTAGTTTTATGGTTACTAGGCCAGTAGTATTTGTGTTCTGGATAACTTCATCAGTAGTTTTATGGTTACGAGACCAGTAGTATTTGTGTTTTAGATAACTTCATCAGTAGTTTTATGGTTACGAGACCAGTAGTATTTGTGTTCTAGATAACTTCATCAGTAGTTTTATGGTTACATATTTTACAATTTAAGCACTGCTTTTGGAACTGACTATATTGCCTTCATTTTTAGTTTTACATTTTCTTTGTTCTTTATTAATCCTTTGCAATTCCTTCTAATCAGTTAAATGAGCTGTTTGTTTACTTTAAGCTTGCTATGTGGAAAAAACAGAAAGTGCGTCTCCATCAGATCCTGAAGCAGAAACCAGAGAGTCCAGCTGTGCCGTTGATCTTGATCATCCCTTCAGTGCTCAGCTCCAGCAATATCTCGCTCCAGGAGCTTGATGAGAATCTAGAACTTTCCAGCCTAGGCAAGCAGGGTCTGATTTCTGCCATACATATAGCCCAGCCCTTCGTAGGCGGTCAGGAGCAGCTTCTGCAATGCTTTGAAGACTGGACTGCTCAGGTAGTGGTCTTTGCTAGAACTTTCTAATGTGTTCTTCTTTGTCTTTTTCTTTATGTTCACCAGTGGTAAACTCCAGCTGTGAATGTACTCCTGAAACACTTATCTTGTTTTGAGGAGACACTTGTCTTGTTTTGTGGAGACACTTGTCTTGTTTTGTGGAGACACTTGTCTTGTTTTGTGGAGACACTTGTCTTGTTTTGTCGAGACACTTGTCTTGTTTTGTCGAGACACTTGTCTTGTTTTGTCGAGACACTTGTCTTGTTTTGTCGAGACACTTGTCTTGTTTTGTCGAGACACTTGTCTTGTTTTGTCGAGACACTTGTCTTGTTTTGTCGAGACACTTGTCTTGTCAAGTTTGATGTACAGACTCTTAGTTCGTTGCCTGTCAGGCACAGGCACAGCAACTTAAAAAAATTGTCAAACCTATCTGCGTTGGTCCGGCGACCTGTTTTTATGATGATGAGGAGACAGGTAGTTAGATCTTGACTAGTATGAGCAGATCTTGACTAGAATGAGCAGATCTTGACTAGTATGAGCAGATCTTGACTAGTATGAGCAGATCTTGACTAGTATGAGCAGATCTTGACTAGTATGAGCAGATCTTGACTAGTATGAGCAGATCTTGACTAGTATGAGCAGATCTTGACTAGTATGAGCAGATCTTGACTAGTATGAGCAGATCTTGACTAGAATGAGCAGATCTTGACTAGTATGAGCAGAAACAGATCTTGACTAGAATGAGCAGATCTTGACTAGTATGAGCAGATCTTGACTAGTATGAACAGATCTTGACTAGTATGAGCAGATCTTGATGAGTATGAGCAGATCTTGACTAGAATGAACAGATCTTGACTAGTATGAGCAGATCTTGACTAGTATGAGCAGATCTTGACTAGAATGAGCAGATCTTGACTAGAATGAGCAGATCTTGACTAGTATGAGCAGATCTTGACTAGAATGAGCAGATCTTGACTAGAATGAGCAGATCTTGACTATTATGAGCAGATCTTGACTAGAATGAGCAGATCTTGACTAGTATGAGCAGATCTTGACTAGAATGAGCAGATCTTGACTAGTATGAGCAGATTTTGACTAGTATGAGCAGATCTTGACTAGTATGAGCAGATCTTGACTAGAATGAGCAGATCTTGACTAGTATGAGCAGATCTTGACTAGTATGAGCAGATCTTGACTAGAATGAGCAGATCTTGACTAGTATGAGCAGATTTTGACTAGTATGAGCAGATCTTGACTAGTATGAGCAGATCTTGACTAGTATGAGCAGATCTTGACTAGAATGAGCAGATCTTGACTAGTATGAGCCCGGGTCTCAGTGCACCGCCATATGTGGTTCAGTACCTATACATCCCATTTTGATGTTTAAAAAAAGGTGTGTTGAATAAATAATTCACCTAATGTTTGTAACATTTTGTAACATCTCCACCATAGCATAAATGCTTACAGACTGGACTGCTCAGGAAGGGATCTTTGCTAGAATATTCTTCTTCTTTGTTTACCAGCTGTACTCTCCTGTAGGTAGTCCTGATTGTTCGTCCATCTGTATTTTGGATTTTTGCCAGGACCTGAGTTTTGAATGTACATCTGTTTTACTGGCTTATTTATGTGCAGTTGGTTGTTTCTTGCCACTCAGACAGATGCACTCTGACTTTGAAAGAAGCCCCCAGTCAGTCGACTCCTAGGTCATGCTTGCTGGGGAGGCAGACGGTATGTTTTTGTTTTCCCCACAGTGGGGCCCTGGAACCCACACTGGGAGCTAGAACATTCTAATGTAGAACAGTTGATTGTTTCAACAATTTAATGTTTGTAAAATCTTCATCAGAGCATGAGGACAAATGGAGATGCAGCAGACAAGAGAAATTCTGGATAAAAAAAAACATTAAAGAATGGATGGATGATTGTATTCCTGTATCTCCATTTATAAATAGGCAGGAGAGGAGAGGGGAAAAAATGTATTTTATAAATAATTTAATAATATTGGTAGCATTGTCCTCATAACCTGAATACTTGAAGGTAGATGTAGAAGAAGAAAACAAATTCCTAGGTTTAAAACTGTTTTTCCATCCCAGAATGTACAATTTGTGATAAACTGTTGTTTGTGTGTACCAAACATCCATCATAGAGATTAGACCTGTTTCTTATTCGTTTTGTTCTGTACTTCCTCTTTTATCACTGAGGTGTTAGGGAAATATGTGGTCTGATTTATTTACTGAATTTATTGGCATCAGTATGTGCAGACTTTATTTTAATAGTTAACTCTTTCAATGCAGGACTTTGTTACTTTAGCTCAGCGGTTCTTAACCTGTGAGTCACGACCCTTTTTGTGTGGGTTGAATGACTATAGGAAAACACATATTCATTGAAGCTAGGAAGTAACAATGAAAATAATTGTATGGTGGAGGGTCGCCACAACATGAGGAACTGTATTAAAGGGTCGCCACAACATGAGGAACTGTATTAAAGGGCCACAAACATGAGGAACTGTATTAAAGGGTCACCACAACATGAGGAACTGTATTAAAGGGTCGCCACAACATGAGGAACTGTATTAAAGGGTCGCCACAACATGAGGAACTGTATTAAAGGGTCGCCACACCATGAGGAACTGTATTAAAGGGTTGCCACAACATGAGGAACTGTATTAAAGGGTTGCCACAACATGAGGAACTGTATTAAAGGGTTGCCACAACATGAGGAACTGTATTAAAGGGTCGCCGCAACATGAGGAACTGTATTAAAGGGTCGCCGCAACATGAGGAACTGTTTTAAAGGGTCATTAGGAAGGTTGAGAACCGCTGCTTTAGTTCATTATGTCACATGCAGTTGTTACATACACCAGTAACTGTCAGTAATGAATGCCAGTTTCTAAAGGAGTTCAAAACATTCTTTGATCCATGACCCCATTTAATAGAGGCAGAGTGACCTACGACCCTGTACATTATAAATAGGCTTTTCAATAGGGGAAATGAAAAGTTGAGAGGATTGACTTCATTGTACTGGGCTCTTACCCACAATGCTCAGTCTTTCTCTGCGGGATGGTTAGTTGCCTGCTGATAGCAGGATTGTGTAGTACCAATGACAATCCCCAGGGATCTGCTTAACAAAATTGCACTCATGAATCGAACGACACAGCTACGAAACAATCCCGCAACCTTCAGAAGAAAGTCTGTGACAGGATTACTTCAGCGGTGCATATGATTTTAATGAGGAAAAGTTATTCAGTTTGTTGACCTCACTCTTTCACATAGCTTCACTAAATCTATTGACATCCGGGAGATGTATCCAGGTGTAGTTGTTGGCTACATCATTTTTTCTACCTTGCCCTGCTCAAGGCCCTCCCCAGAGTATACTGTCATATCATTGGCATCTTTCTGTCTTTCCAGACGATAGTGTTATATTGCTTTATGAGGAGTCATGAGACTCACAGCTCATGGCGATGGCGAGTGTGACTAACAAGATCCGCTCGTGTCAAGAAAAGTCTTCCACAATGATAGCCTGGGATTTTGGGACCCTTGTTAACAACATTTTTGTTTAATCCGTTTTTTTTTCCAGACGCTTAGCTCTCATTCTTTCTGCAGTAATTTCTTCCTTCACTCTCATTCCCTTCTTGATATGCCCTTTCCACACAACACAGTCCAAGGCATTTTGTTCCCATGAGTCCGCCTCAATACCTGTATCATTCATGTCCTGCTTGCACACATCTTTATACCGTTGTAGAGGTCGGCCTTGACATCTTCTTCCTGTCTTTAATTCACCATAAAGGATGTCCTTAGGGACTCTGCCATCCTCCATTCTCCAGGTGTGGCCCAGCCACCCAAGCCTTCGTAGACTAAGCATGCTCGAGACCCTCCCCAGATCATACTGTGGACACCTTTTCACCCATTAACCATAAGAGGTTTCAATAATGCTTACTGTTGAATGAATTAAAGGACACACAGAATCACATTTGTGTCTGCTAGGTGACAAACTGCCTGAGATTTGCTGTCAGCCACATCCCTGTCCCCCCCAAACTGCGGGTGAAGCCAGTCTCTGACTACATTGAAGATGCTATTGTAGAATTCTACAAGTCGACTGTCTACGAGGATTTGCGTGTCAGGACCAAACATCAGCTCTTACATCAGGTTAGTCGGTTCATTTTCACTTTTTTCTCTGCTTTTTTGTTTTCTCTCACCATTTGCTGTGATTTCCATGTCTCTCTTTGGCACAGTATAACACTGCCATCTAATTAGTTAGTTAGTCGACGATTATACTCATTGCACATCGAACCTTTCAGTCCATAAGTGCTCGGATCCCCTCCTTAGTAAATCCTGCAGTGTTTAGCAGCTCACAACACCAGTTCTGTATTGGTTTCATATTCTTCTTTGGCTTCCTGCATGGCGCTCTAGTCTGACCACTTTTTACATGTTGTTCTTGCAGTCTGGTCATTGTTGCAGATTCACAGCCATCACTTGGTTCTCGCAAACGTCTTACTTCTCGTAGAGCATTCAGAATATCAGCATGGTCCTTGGCTCGTCTGTCCTCCACAGTTTCTTTATCTGCAAGCCAATCAGCTTGCTCATTTCCTTGCACGTCTGCGTGTCCTAGCACAGAAATGAAACTAATATGTGTTAACCCCGACCGCTTTAGAGACTCCAGCCACTGTCTTCGGATCCAGCCCTTCTTTATCTTCCTGAGCATACTCACTGAGTCATTGAGAAAGCATGTGTGGAAAAAGGTCTGTGTCTCCAGCCATGTCATTGTTTTGGTCACTTCCATGACACTGTCATCTAGAAAGATGGAAAGGTACCAGCTAATGAAAATTTTGCATAAGAGTTGCCATTCGTAGTTGACTGTCTTGTCTTGTCACTGATGGCGCAAGGTTTGAATGAAGATTGCATTTATATTGTCTTTTTGTCCTAGGTTGACCCAGCCAAAAATGGGTACCAGGAAATACTGTGAGAAGTAAAGCTAGCAGTTGTAATACAGGTATTAGGGTAAATATGTGGGAACAAAATACCACATACTGTGTTGCGTGGAGGCGGGAAGGAGAAAAGGAATGGAAAAAAGGAAAAATGATAGCAGGTAGGTTGAGAACTGAGCATCTAAAGAGAATTATACTAAATCAATGTAATGGCAGCTACAATCCTAAAATCCCATGCTCTGATTACAGCAGACTTTTGAAATATGGGCAGGTCTTGTTAGTTGCACTCACTGTCTCCACGGGCTTTGATTGGCATGCCTTCCCATAGCACAGTATAACAGCAATATCACCTGGAAACATGAAATGTGCCACCAGAGTATTCAAAGGGCCTCACACACCAGCTGCAATTTCTGTGATGGGACTATCTTTATTTTTAAAATGCCTAATTGTTTTCTGATCTTCTTATCAACCTCCACCATCATTATCATCAACATCAACATCATCATCTTCTTCTTTTTAGTCAGCCCTTAAAAGGATAGTTCACACATTGTGTTATGATTTACAATATGGCTGCTATATCTGTGCCTATCAGACAATACATTTTCTTTCAGCAAAGCCTTAGTCACCTTTTATAATATTTGGTTTTTTTTTCTTGGAAAAGGGGGGGAAGGGGGGGGGGGGGGGGGATTTTCTATGAATTGGTTTCAGGCAACAAAAATTGCTAATTCCTGCAACATTTATGTGTCTCCAGGTTTTTATCAACATTTGAAAAAACTCAGTTTTCAAAACTCTGCTCAGGATTTAAGTAGAAAGGATGTTTACATCCTCAGCTTCTATGCTTGTGTAAAGAAACCACCGCCTGAATTGTACCTTTTGCCCAGGTCTGCAGCAGACATCATACTATTAAATTAAGCTACTCTGCCTTTTTATGGTAGGGAAAGCTTAAATTGAGTATTTGAAAATGTCCTGGAAAATTAAAGAAGCCCGTTCGATATTGAGCTGAACCATCACACAGTTATGATTGGTCTATACAGATATGGAGCTGAACCATCACACAGTTATGATTGGTCTATACAGATATTGAGCTGAACCATCCCACAGTTATGATTGGTCTATACAGATATTGAGCTGAACCATCCCACAGTTATGATTGGTCTATTCGGATATGGAGCTGAACCATCACACAGTTATGATTGGTCTATTCGAATATGGAGCTGGCGCTGTCTATACATGTATAGAGCTAGCACTGTAGACTTGAAAGTTTTGGAAATCATGTCCGCTGTGGTGAAGTGGTCAAGCTGCATGCCTGGCAATCTGAAGGTTGTGGGTTTGTTTCACAAACTTCATTTTTCGTCTCACAAATAAATAATCCCGGAGCTATAGGTTTTGTGCTGTGTGTGACACTCTGGACAAGCATCTTGTCATTCTGTCGAGAGAAACGAGCTGAATGGGATCAAACCCAGTGTAGTGAAGTTAGTCCTCTCCACCTAAAATTTAACTTTAGAAGTGGGACTTGTGCTCAGTATTGCTTTCCTGATGTGACATTATTAGAAAGATTTGCTTAAAATGGATGTCTTTCCCCAGTCGCCAAACACTCTGTTGTCCCTGTACAACGAGGTGGTGGAGCATGCAGCCATGGTTTGCAGCTCAGGCTCACTGGCACAGATCTCCTGGCCAGCACCAGACTTTGATGAATCTGTAGCAGCAGGTCAGTTTGTAACTAACAGTTGTCAATGATTAACCTACTTTATTACCATTACTGTGCTGTGTGGAACCACTTAAATCAAATTAGTAACAAAGGGGAGGAATATCATCTGAAAATAAAGACTACGAAGACAGAGATAATGGTGTTATGAAGACAGATAATGGTGTTATGAAGACAGATAATGGTGTTATGAAGACAGATAATGGTGTTATGAAGACAGATAATGGTGTTATGAAGACAGATAATGGTGCTAGGAAGACAGATAATGGTGCTAGGAATACAGATAATGGTGCTAGGAAGTCAGATAATGGTGCTAGGAAGTCAGATAATGGTGCTAAGAAGACAGATAATGGTGCTAGGAAGACAGATAATGGTGCTAGGAAGACAGATAATGGTGTTATGAAGACAGATAATGGTGCTAGGAAGACAGATAATGGTGCTAGGAAGACAGATAATGGTGCTAGTAAGACAGATAATGGTGTTATGAAGACAGATAATGGTGCTAGGAAGACAGATAATGGTGCTAGGAAGACAGAAAAAGAATTTAGAAATAAAATTAAAAAACAACACCTTAATTAAAACAGAGGAAATTAAGTGTTTATGAGCAATTTTTACATCCAACCGAAAACTGGACTGAGAAATTAGCTTGAGATGTGCCAAAGCTAATCAAGTAATGGGGCAATTATCTCCCCTGTTGACACACAAGCAGATACCCCGGAGTACTAAAGTGAATCTTATCAGAAATGTTTTTTGGCCAACACTAAAATTGTGACAACAGAGAGGAAATGCCTTACAAGAGCTGCAGGAGTTTCAAGGAAAGAGTACGAAATCTCGTATCAGAAGAATGCTAGGAATAAAGCCAGTCTTACAGGTCTTCAAAGAACAACAAATGAAGTGGTTTGGACACCTAACAAGAATGCCCTGGTGCTATCTGCCACACTAAAATGTTACAACGGGTGTAGAGCGAGTGGAAGACCCCAGAAAATATGGAGTGATGGCATTAAGAACAACATGTTCCAACCACAATGAAGACAAAACTGTATGGTACACAAGAGGATATGGATTGCACGATAGCTTTCATAAAGGCTACTGGCCTCCTGATATAAGATTTCTGACAGAAGGATCGAAGAAGAAGAAGAAGATAGTGCTCTCGACAGAGCTCATCAACGATTGTTACTTCTCTCCCCGATACTTCGCTGAGGTACAAGGTGGAAGAGAAGAAGAAGAACTGTGATGTGTGTTTGTTGAAGAAAGTGAGAATGGGGCATGAAGCTGGTCATCCTTTTTCTTTTGTGCTCATCTTTAAAAGAATGATTGGCACATTGTGCTATCTGCTTTTTAGTCCATCTCATTCAGTTTCAGCAGATCCTAATTTGTTGCCTTTTATGACATGCTTGTAAGAGGGCCATGGGTATGTTTTTTAAAACTTTTAACCCCCTCCCCCCCCCCCCCCCCCCCCCCCCCCAATCCCCCTTCAAATCGGGCCTCAGAGCCAATATGGGGAAAGCTAGCTGTCCAACCTCATAAAATATAGTAGTGTGTTTCAGAATAGCCTGTTCGAGTTTACAAGTGCGTTTGTTGTGTCTGTGGGGTACTGGCAATGGGTTCAAATCCGAAACAGCGAGGGACTTTTCTCAGAAATGACCTTTGCTGCCAGGTTGACGCAGCCTTAAATGGGCACCAGGTATTTTTGCGTGTACATCTGTTTTACTGACTTACTTGTGTGCAGTAGATTGTTCCTTGCCAGTCAGGCAGATATACTCTATCTTCGATGGAAGTCCCCAATTAATCTACTCCTACAACATGAGAGACAGTGGGTGTATTTCTGTTTTCCCCACAGTGGGGCCCCGGAACCCACACGGGGAAGTACTAATGTGACAAAGCTAAATCCCCCGTGTGGGTTTCGGGGCCCTATTATAGGGAAAACAAGAATAGACCCACTGCCTGCCCAAAAGCATGTTGTAAGAGTCGACCAATTGGGAGCGTTCTTCAAAGAGTCGGAGTTCATCTGCCTTAGAGGCAAGGAACCAACAGTCTACACTAAAATGTGTCAGATCTGTCAAACGGATGCACACGCAACACTCAGGTTCTGGAACAGGACTGCATTTTAGAAGATGACGAACAACCAGAACTTTCCACCAGAGTTTACAGCTGGTGAACGCAAAGAATAAAGTAGAAGAAGAAGCTAAATATTTTTAAAATTTACATTACATGAAAAATTAATTAATTTTAATCTTTTAATTATATTTTTTTTAAACTTTAGGACACCCTGTCTCTTCATGGAACTCAGAAGCTCACATGTGTGACCTGTATGAACTAGTTTCCAAAATGAGGCTGCCCTACTTTCGGTATAGTGACTTGGAAGCAGATGATTGGTCGACGGCATGTAACGACGTTTGGGCATTTGTGGCTGCAGTAACGAAGAAGGATACTGGGTTCGCCAAAATTGGTCTGCATCACAAGTAAGTTTCAGAGCTAGTTTTAGAGTAAGGATGCTTGAAATATGGAATAGCGACATGGGGGTCAACCAGTGTTTTTCTCCTAGACTGTTGTCCTTTGTCACTGCAAGTTCTGCTGCCAGGACATCTAGTTATGTTGTGAGTTTTCTCAGTGTGCATCATATCCAGTGCCAGCATCTTTTGCTCAGCTTCGTCATTGACCACTTTTAAAGGAGTGAGTGGCTCTAGGAGTCACAGAAGCTGAGCTGGTAGATTCTTGCCTGCCAGGCCAGATGTGTTGTATTCAAATCCACAACAGGACAGATTTGTATTAATGACCTAGGACGCCACGGTCGACCAATGGCTTCTGATTGAGTTGAGATAAAAAGTGACAGCACAGCACTTGGGACATTCCCATGTGTGCACCGTCGTCATCTTCAGCAGCTAGCAAAGACTTTCAGTTCCCATGGTGCCAGTAGTAGTTTGATGAAATGTCCGTCTTGAATTGTTTGTTTGTCTGGCCTTTCCTCTGAGTGTAGACTGTCGACCAGATTTTCTAGTAACTCTTTGCTGCACCATTCTGTTCACACTGTAATCATCTATTCATCCCTTTAGTCACCTTCGCACCATTCTGTTCACACTGTAATCATCTATTCATCCCTTTAGTCACCTTCGCACCATTCTGTTCACACTGTAATCATCTATTCATCCCTTTAGTCACCTTCGCACCATTCTGTTCACACTGTAATCATCTATTCATCCCTTTAGTCACCTTCGCACCATTCTGTTCACACTGTAATCATCTATTCATTCCTTTAGTCACCTTCGCACCATTCTGTTCACACTGTAATCATCTATTCATCCCTTTAGTCACCTTCGCACCATTCTGTTCACACTGTAATCATCTATTCATCCCTTTAGTCACCTTCGCATCATTCTGTCCACACTGTAATCATCTATTCATCCCTTTAGTCACCTTCGCACCATTCTGTTCACACTGTAATCATCTATTCATCTCTTTAGTCACCTTCACACCATTCTGTCCACACTGTAATCATCTATTCATCCCTTTAGTCACCTTCGCACCATTCTGTCCACACTGTAATCATCTATTCATCCCTTTAGTCACCTTCGCACCATTCTGTCCACACTGTAATCATCTATTCATCCCTTTAGTCACCTTCGCACCATTCTGTCCACACTGTAATCATCTATTCATCCCTTTAGTCACCTTCGCACCATTCTGTTCACACTGTAATCATCTATTCATCCCTTTAGTCACCTTCGCACCATTCTGTTCACACTGTAATCATCTATTCATCCCTTTAGTCACCTTCGCACCATTCTGTTCACACTGTAATCATCTATTCATCCCTTTAGTCACCTTCGCACCATTCTGTTCACACTGTAATCATCTATTCATCCCTTTAGTCACCTTCGCACCATTCTGTTCACACTGTAATCATCTATTCATCCCTTTAGTCACCTTCGCACCATTCTGTCCACACTGTAATCATCTATTCATCCCTTTAGTCACCTTCGCACCATTCTGTTCACACTGTAATCATCTATTCATCCCTTTAGTCACCTTCGCACCATTCTGTTCACACTGTAATCATCTATTCATCCCTTTAGTCACCTTCGCACCATTCTGTTCACACTGTAATCATCTATTCATCCCTTTAGTCACCTTCGCACCATTCTGTTCACACTGTAATCATATATTCATCCCTTTAGTCACCTTCGCACCATTCTGTTAACACTGTAATCATATATTCATCCCTTTAGTCACCTTCGCACCATTCTGTTAACACTGTAATCATCTATTCATCCCTTTAGTCACCTTCGCACCATTCTGTTCACACTGTAATCATCTATTCATCCCTTTAGTCACCTTCGCACCATTCTGTTCACACTGTAATCATCTATTCATCCCTTTAGTCACCTTCGCACCATTCTGTTCACACTGTAATCATCTATTCATCCCTTTAGTCACCTTCGCACCATTCTGTTCACACTGTAATCATCTATTCATCCCTTTAGTCACCTTCGCACCATTCTGTTCACACTGTAATCATCTATTCATCCTTTAAGTCACCTTTGCACCATTCTGTCCACACTGTAATCATCTATTCATCCTTTAAGTCACCTTTGCACCATTCTGTCCACACTGTAATCATCTATTCATCCCTTTAGTCACCTTCACATGTCTGTATAACACTGTGGAATTAACTAAGGCTTTTTCCTGATGGTTTGCATGGCCTGCACTTTTGTTTAATAAATCCTTGCTTCAGTCCTTCTGTAACAGACACTTTATGGTTGGCATACACCTCCCCCCTCTTCCCCCTCCCCATTGCTAAAGTACACTTTGTAGTGAGTGCCGGCACCTTTTTATTTTCCATAGGAAAAACTGTAACTAAAATTATTTTTAAAAAAAGAGTTATACAGGATGTGTGCTCTAAACTTGACATCATCTTCAGCCATTAGTGAGGAGAGAGGTTGAGAGGAGAAATAGGTACCAGCAGTCTACATCAGTCATTGGATACCAGTTGGTCTATAATGTTGATGGTAGGGCTGTACTGAATATTCGCTTCGTATTCGCTTCGGGGCCGAATAGTGGACCTATTGACTATTCGGTAATCGGCCGAATAGTTGCGGTCAGGCCGAATACGAATAGTAGTTACTTTACACCCGCTTTTGCATACACGGCCTTAATGCTGACAACATGGAACGATTGGTTTTGTTGAAAGCTAATGCAGCTTACATGCATTAACTAAGCTGTCAGTTACAATTTCCAAGTTTAGTTACTTGTTATAATACTTAGGATTCTTTCATTCCTAGTTATTAGTTACCACAGACTGACTAAAGGATGCAAAAAAAAATGTTTTTAAATGTTTACTATTCTGTATGAATACTAACTAGACGTGGAAAGAATATAAACTCCGACCACATCCAAGTCGATAATATGAAAATCAAACAAATGAAAACATATAAGTACTTGGGTGCAAACTTCAACTGCTCCAACATGCTTAGAGAAGAAATACAATCTAGAATACAAACTAGAAATAAAGTATACAATGCCCTTCAACATCTGCTAAAGTCAAAGTGTATGTCTCGCAACATCAAGAACAAATTATATAAAACGTTGATAAGACCAGTGGTTTTATATGGCTCTAAAACTTGAAGCAGAAATAAAAGAGATGAGGTCTTATTACAGGTTTTTGAAAACAGTCTTACAACAAATCTTTGGACCCATCAAAGATGCTAACAGCGGGAAATGGAGAGTGAAAAGCAACAACGTAACACATAATCTGTTTAAATTACCATTGATCACTGGCATTATAAGAGCTAACACTTAAATGGTTGGGGCACATTGCAAGAATGTCAGATGACAGAGAAGTAAAACTGTATACACCTGAGAGAGGAATGGGCGTAGACCACGAAACAGACAAAAAAGAAGTTTGAGAGATAATGTCCAGCCAGACCTGCAAACAACTGGTGTCACAAATTTTGAAGATAAGTCCAGCCAGAGAGATGAATGGAGACGAGTGATATCTGCAGCAGTAAACCGCAAGGGCTCAGAATGCTAAAGAAAAAGATAACTATTATGTGCTACTTTATATGAAGTAAAAGTTCAGCATTCTTTTGATATTATGAATGTGTGCGTTTTTTTTAAATAGATATATTTTATACACTATACACTATTCGTATTCACCCGAATAGTTGGTCCCGCTATTCGTATATGGCCGAATAGTGAAAATCACTATTCGGTACAGCCCTAGTTGATGGGTGTAGCATCAAATGCCAGTCATGTGAACAGTGTCCTTGTTTGCCAGTTTGTGTTTTTGGGTTCCACCCAGAGGTTTTGTAGTCGTTTGTGTATTATTATCTAACCTTGACATTGCTCAAGAGTAAAACTCCAGCAGTGGTTGGATTCTTTGTCCTCCAGGAGAGATCTGGGCAGTGATCCAGCTTCATAAACTTGGTACAATATCAATATTTTGTGACTTCTGAGAATGGGAACTTAATGAATAGTTACTCGCGTGCTGGCCCGAAGGGCATGGGTTCAAATCTGCATTGAGCTGGAATATTGTCAGAATTGACCTTGACCTATCTTTTTATATACCAATTGGCACTCTGTGAGTTATGTGGCCACCTTTACTTTCCATGACTTTACCTGGTACCCATTTTAAGTTTCTTGCTACTATTTTTCTCCTATTTTTCCAGTTTTAACATATGGTTGTAAGTCCTGGACAATCGGTAGGCAGGCAAAACAATTTCTCTAGACATTGTTGTTAACATGTGCTCATTTATCCACAGAGTGGCTGAACTGTTGTCTCGCTGTAAGAAAGTATTCCGTCAGTTCTGCTGGCTAGCAAACCGAGATGGACCCTGTGAACCCTCGTACATCAACATGGCCTGGACAGATTTGATTGATGCTTGCATACATTATAAACTGGTGTCTCTTCGTACAGGCCACTTGAATATTAGGAGACAGGTTAGTTGGACATGTGAAATACAGGGAGGAATGTGGTTGCAAGTTGACTTATGTGTGTGTGTGAGTGTAGTGCATTTTGCTTTCTTTTAATCCACTGACTATCAACGTCGCACATTATGCGACGAGGTGACATTTACTTATTGCTGCCAAGGTCGCAACTCTTGCGATTGTAGCGTTGGGGCCCTATTATAGGGAAAACAAGAATAGACCCACTGCCTACCCAGAAATATGTCGTAAGAGTCGGCTAATTGGGAGGTTCCTTATAAGTCAAGAGTGCATCTGCCTGAGAGGCAAGGAACTAGCAGTCTGCATACAAATAGTTAGATCTGTAAAACGGATGCACACACAACACTCAGGAACAGGACTGCAGTCCAGAAGTGGACAAGCAACCAGAACTTTCCACCGGAGTTTACAGCTGGTGAACGTGAAGAAGAAGAAGAAGAAGACTAATATATCATTGTCGCTTTTGATGCAGAATTATCATCATCTGATGGGTCCGGGAAAGATTTGCCATACACCCACACTGGTTGATAACTGGCATTGTGATTTGCAGGGTTTTCCTGAAGTACCCCCATTTTTGTAGAAGAGTAATAAACCGATTTTTGTGTCTTGCAATTTGTTGTCCATTCATTTTTGGTGCAAAAATACAAAATATGAGACGAGTGTGCTGAATGGTTGTGAAGCTATGGTATTTTTTAGGTGTCTTCTTCTTCTTCTTTTTGTGGTCACTTTCTGTTTTTATGAGTTCCTTTTTTGTGTTCCATCTTCGTGTTGGTCAGCCCCTGCCCCTCCTTCCTGGTACCATGCCTTCTGCTTTTTTTTTTTTTCCAATCTGTCATGGTGCTTGAGGTGACCAAAATATTTCAGCTTCCGGCACAAGATGCTGTTTATTGGCCAATCTTCCTTGATGTTCAGATCTTTCAAGATGTCAGTATTTCTCCTCTTCTTTGTCCAAGATATTCTGAGAATCTTTCTATAGCATTTCAGCTCAAAAGCCCCTATTCTCTTTCTTAAGGAATGGAAGGTAATCTACAACTCACATTCGTATGTTGCTACAGGGAAGATGCATGCTCTCAAAATTCTATTTTTGATCTACTGGTGCTTAACCATAAATCATATGTTATGATGCAGTAACCTAATACATGTGAACAACATGTAAATCATACATTTATGTTTTTTCTGATACACCTGTTTTGTAATCCTCAATGGATTCATCATCATCATCATCAACATGTAGCAGGTCCTTTGCAGAACATCGCTCTCATCACAGTCTGCCTGAAAGAAACTCAGTCTCTCACCAGTTCTCCTGCCTCACGTACTTTCATACTCAAGGAGTCACTTATATCCTGTGCCCATCTTCGTGTCAGTTGGCCCCTGGCCCTCCTTCCTGATACCATGCCTTCTGCTATAATTTTTTCCATTTCGTCGTGGTGCTTGATATGACCAAAATATTTCAGCTTCCAAGACAAGATGCTGTTTATTAGCCAATCTTCCTTGATGTTCAGATCTTTCAAGATGTCAGTATTTCTCCTCGTCTTTGTCCTCAATGAATTCATGTCCTATAATGATCACAGTTTTGACTCATGTCCTGTCACTCTAAGTCGTACCTGTATTTGTCACATTGACAGGAAGAGGATGATGAGCTGGTAGAAGATGACCTTGACCCGGAGGAGATGCTGGTGTTTTATCAGGAGTCAGAGCTTGATGACTGGGAGCCTCCTGTGGTGTGGCAGGATGCTCTCAGAGATACTGAGTCTGCAGGTTTGTTTGAAGATGTATATTTACATTTCTTGATTTGTTTAAATCACCATGTCTATTTATCACCATTTCCAGTTTTTCTCTTCTTATAATCTGGCGAAAATGATCACTGCCTATTCCTGATTTTTGTTAAAAAGTTGTCTTCACTTATCTCAGTCAGTAAGTTATTCCGTTATTTTTGGGAAAATGTTTGAGTAATAAATGTTTGGATTAGAGTGGCTTAAGTTGATGCCACCTCTAGAGAAAAAGAGTTACAGTAACAATTAGAGCAGTGCAGATTAGTGTTAACAGCTAATGTGACATGAGAAGGTAAGAACAGGTAAAGTGTAAGAAAAAACTAAGTTGTTTTATTGTAAAAAGATGAACAACTCCACCATCCAAGCCACCTGAGAAGCACAGGATAAGTACATAAAACCATGACACTGGGCTACAACTTGTATCAGTAAGATGAAAAAAAAAGAAGTTTATTTACACTAAATAAGTTAAATTTTGAATGCTTCAGGGGCTGGCCTGCTTAAGTCGACTGTTGAGAATGCCAGTATTACTTTAGACAGGATGGAAGCAGACAGCATGGAGACTTCAACTGTAAATGAAGGAACTGTGTTGTCCACTACAACAGAGATTGCTACAGGTAGATTATACTGCTTTGTTGTTGCATTACCTAATTCTTATTTACTTAGTAATTTAATCTTGTATCATATGCCTCAGTCGTCACTGGCATTATAAGCGCCCCCCCCCCCCCCCCCCCAAACCTAAAATGGGTACAGGTAATGTTCTGAGAAGTAGAGACAGCCTGTGACTACATTACCCATGAGGGCAAGTTTATCAGTAAAAATAGGTTTAATACTATATACCTTTGCAACAAAAACATGAAAAGGTTACTTTACTTGACAACAGTACCGTTCTAGGTACTTTACTTAACAACAGTACCATTCTAGTTACTTTACTTGATAACAGTACCCTTGTAAGTACTTTATTCAACAGCAGTACCATTCTAGGTACTTTACTCAACAACAGTACCATTTTAGGTTCTTTACTCAACAACAGTACCATTTTAGGTACTTTACTAGATAACAATACCTATTTTAGGTACTTTACTCGACAACAGTACCATTCTAGGTAGTTGACGTGACAACAGTACCATTCTAGGTGGTTTACTTGACAACAGTAACATTCTAGGTACTTTACTTGACAACAGTAACATTCTAGGTGGTTTACTTGACAACAGTAACATTCTAGGTACTTTACTTGACAACAGTAACATTCTAGGTACTTTACTTGACAACAGTACCATTTTAGGTAGTTTACTAGATAACAATACCTATTCTAGGTACTTTACTCGACAACAGTAACAACAATACCATTCTAGGTAGTTGACATGACAACAGTACCATTCTAGGTGGTTTACTTGACAACAGTAACATTCTAGGTACTTTACTTGACAACAGTAACATTCTAGGTACTTTACTTGACAACAGTACCATTCTAGGTACTTTACTTGACAACAGTAACATTCTAGGTAGTTTACTTGACAACAGTAACATTCTAGGTACTTTACTTGACAACAGTAACATTCTAGGTAGTTTACTTGACAACAGTAACATTCTAGGTACTTTACTTGACAACAGTAACATTCTAGGTACTTTACTTGACAACAGTAACATTCTAGGTACTTTACTTGACAACAGTAACATTCTAGGTACTTTACTTGACAACAGTAACATTCTAGGTACTTTACTTGACAACAGTAACATTCTAGGTACTTTACTTGACAACAGTAACATTCTAGGTACTTTACTTGACAACAGTAACATTCTAGGTACTTTACTTGACAACAGTACCATTCTAGGTAGTTTACAACAGTATTTCTGAATGAAAAGGCAGGTTTCCCTTTTTCATGTTTAAGTCTAAGCATTCTACAAAGTTAGTGATTATTTGAGACAACTGTGCTAATAAATTTGCTTAATGATTATTTGCGACAGTTATAGCAGGGTATACGGTTAGTGATTATAAGGGATTCAAACAAAAAATAGGATATCAAGTTAGTCACATGTGACAAATTTGTAGGGTGGTTTGGCAGCAGTTTCCAGTTAGCTAATACCTGCAGATCCCACTTTGTTTGGAAGATCTGCCACACTTTTTAATACTTATTCTGAAAAAGTTATAGTTTCTAAATATTATAATTGCATTCTAAAGTTGAGGTTTTGTGTGTATGTAAATGATATGGACTCCTCTCACCCTGGAACAAAACAAAAAATATGTCATAACACTGTTATAATTCCAGAAAAAAATCAGCACAGACAACAATTTTGACACAGGTCACTAATGTATTTATCTACATAAATAAACACCTGCACAGTCGTGGCGACAGCACTAGACATGCGGCCGGAAATCCTCAAGCTCAAAGACCCTCTTTCCCCGCCTACACCGCAAAAGTGATTTAATAAAGGCAGTCATTGAAAGTTTTTTTTTACTTTCCTTACTCTGTAGTGTATTCTTTTTTGGGCGGTCAATAAATCAGTTTTGTGTGATTGTTCTTGTAACATGGGTTTTTTTTTTAAAGAGTGGAAGGGGGAAGGGATTGTGAAAAGTGTGGGATCTTTTTTTTTTTTTTTTGGATTTTTTTAGGTAACTGAGATGAAAGGGTTAACAGAGTGGAGAACATCACTGGTATATATTTGATTGTGTTTTAGCTGTATTTATAGTAACTATCAGCATAATCAGTGAGAAGTTTTGTGATTATCAGTTCATTTTCTCTTAATTTCCTCTAACTTCTACTTGTGGGATGTATTAACATTTCTTCTTCTTAGTTTAGAACAGGACTGAACAGATGGAGGCTGAAAAGATTAGAATATGATTGAAATGTTGAATGGCTGGTAGAAGATTAGAATAGGAATTTGATAGATAGAAGTGAGAGATTAGAATAGGAATTTGACAGATAGAAGTTAGAGAAGATTAGAACTGGAATTTGATAGATATAAGTGAGAAAAGATTAGAATTGGAATTTGATAGAAGTGAGAGAAGATTAGGATTGGAATTTGATAGAAAGAAGTGTGAGAAGATTAGAATTGGAATATGATGGATAGAAGTGAGAGAAGATTAGAATAGGAATTTGATAAATAGAATTGAGAGAAATCAGAATAGGAATTTGATAGATAGAAGTGAGAGAAGATTAGAATAGGAATTTGATGGATAGAAGTGAGAGAGAATGAGAATAGAAATGAGAGAAGATTAGAATATGAGAGAAGATTAGAAAAGGAATTTGATAGAGGTGACAGAAGATTAGAATAGGAATTTGATATAAGTGAGAGAAGATTAGAATAGGAATTTGATAGAAGTGAGAGATTAGAATAGGACTGAATAGGTAAAAGCTGAGAGATTACAACATGGTAGGATTAAATAAATAGAGGCTTTGAGTTGAACTGTTGAAGAACTTGTTGAGTTTACAGTAAGATTATTTTAGTAAGTCAATATGCCAGTTCACCGTGTGGGTTCCGGGACCCTATTATAGGGTAGACAAGAATAGGCCCACTGCCTACTCAAAAGCAGGTCATAAGAGTCGACTAATTGGGAGCTTCCTTCGAAGTCAGAGTGCATCTGCCTGGAGGAAAGGAACCAACAGTCTGCACACAAATTAGTAAGATCTGTCAAACGGATGCACACGTAACACTCAGGTTCTGGAACAGAACTTTCCACCAGAGTTAACAGCTGGTGAACGCAAAGAAGAAGAAAGAAGAATATGCCAGTTGAGGTTAATTCTAAAAATGAAACTTTTGTTGTTTTTAACTGCCTTGACAGAAATTCCAAAGGATGAAACATTTGTTGTTGTTACTGTCTTGACAGAAATTTCAAAGGATGAAACATTTGTTGTTGTTACTGTCTTGACAGAAATTCCAAAGGATGAAACATTTGTTGTTGTTACTGTCTTGACAGAAATTCCACATGATGAAACATTTTGTTGTTGTTACTGTCTTGACAGATAATACAGGGTGTTCAAGTTTGGAGAACCTGAAGATGCTTCTGGAACAAGAGAAGGCTGCATCAGAAAAGTTTGAGAAAGCTCTGGAGTCATGCCTGCTTGGCAGCAACTCTTCTGTGGACGTAGAATCCACACAGGGAGAATTGGCATATGAGCACTTATCCCCCATCAACTATAGCAGTAGAACAAGTTACCAGGATGTAACTAAGAGTTTTGGTGGTAAATACTTCAGTTTATCTGGCCAAGCAGCAGGAAGATTTTCTTGTGAGTCAGTTGGAGATACACCTGTTAGCAAAAGATTGAGTCAGCGGACTGTAACAGAGAGCAGCAGGAGAGGACTAGTTGACGCAGATGTTAGTCTGTCATCCACCTTGTCTGACAGAGTGTGTGATTTACATGAAACTGTCTTGAGTGAAAGACAAGCTGATGTTTTGTTTGAATTGAGATTGAAGAGTCTTTTGGAGCCTGCATTTATGTAAAGGTTCATGTTTATAATTAAGACTAATTACTTACATCATCATATTTTGCTGTTTATTTGTAACACAGAACTTGCAGTTAGTTCACCCATTCCCTTCTATAATTTTGATATTGTACAAGGAATCCAGTCTGACACTGCTGGCTTCTGTCACATATATGTCATTATGTTTCTCTTGGATGGCTCCTCTTTATCAGGCTATTAGTTTCATATTTCAGTATTTTGTTATTATCTCAGAATGCCCAATATATCGCTATCTTCTGTTTCGTATAATTGGTTTATTCACACTAAGAAAGAAATTGCTATGAGCAGCTCAGGCAAGAAATTTTTTTGGTTGTAAAATGTACATACAATAAAGTTCATATGACAAAACCAGCAAAAGAGTTTCATTATCATGTGACATTATAACAATAAAGATTTTTTTTTTTTAAGTGTTAGAGCCTAAAATCTGTTTGTGTTTCAAGTGTGCTTAATACAGAGTTAACTGGCTTCTGAATAGTTCATCAGAAAAGAAATATTTGTTTAATGCATAAAACATTTTTCATTGACTTGTTTCATTCATTTCTGAAGGAGATGTAAGACATAGAGTGAGACAGCTGCTGGTGCCATTGGAATTGAATTGGAACACTCCACTGGCTGCTGAAGATGGGGACAAAGCACTTATGAGAATGTGTTGATTAAAATGATGTCAGTTCTCAACTCAGCTCAACTAAACTTTATTAGCTTAAAAGAATAAAGTCTGGGATAGCCAAGGCTTTTTCCTAGAACAAAGGTGCCGGTACTCACCACAAAATATATGTTTTAATAGTGCTGAAAAAATGTATATAAAAAGGTGCTGGTACTGTGTACTGTTGTGTGTACCACCAGAAAGGGGGGAGACAAAAGACAGTGATCATTAATTAGCAAACATACTACAAAAAGTTATTACTTGAATCTCAGCATATATAAGATTGGCTTTAGCTTTAAAATGTAGCATTTTCACAAAAACACTTTGTTAATTGGAAGCCGCTGTGGTGTAACCGCTAGACGCTCGCCTGCGAATCCGAAGGTTGTGGGTTTAGGTCCTGATGGAGCATGATTTAAAAAAAAAATACTTGGCTCCCAGGTTGACCCAGCCTTAAATGGATACCAGGTAAAGTCCTGGGAAGTAAATACAGCCAGTGTGATACTTATCACTGCGTGCTGTTTTGTTTGTAACATCTAGTTCTAGCCCTATATACCCAGTACATCTGAAGGTGTGGAAAAAGGTCCTTTACTTTGTTCATTATTTGTTTTAGCTTTATTTAAAAAAATTTAAAAAAAGGGTTTGAATAATGTTGTCAACAGACATCCAGCTTATCAATTTCACAAACTTCTTCTTCTTTGCGTTCGGTTTCGTATGCTCAGATCAGACCATCAGGTGGGTTGCCTCCATGAACTGGCATGTCAGCTGCAGGTCCTGCAAGGTTCCCCATAGCTTGCTCTGCACACTTTGCTCTTGAGGCCAGATGTCTTTTCGCAATTCAGGTAGAGTGGGCAGGTCTGCAGAATATGCTCAGGTGTTTGTGGTCCTGTCTGACAGGCACACTGTGGGGGACTGTACAATCTTTATTTTATGCATGTGGTAGTTGAGTCTGCAATGTCCTGTTCTTAGAAGGAAAATTGTTGTATGTTGCTTTCTGTTGAGCCTGCTGATGGGGTCTTGCGGATGTTAACTGCTAGTTTGTTCTTTCCACAATTCCTTGTATTTTCCTTTGATAAGTGTTCTGATTTATGGTAATGTCAATGAATGGGTGTGTTGTTTCTCCTTTGTTCCATTTTTTGCAAGTCTGTCTGCTAACTCATTTACTGGTATGACGCAGTGAGCTGGGATCCACTGGAGGACGATTTGTTTTCTGTGAGTGTTTAACTGACAGGTCAGTAATTCCACAAACAGAATATGCGATAAGTACAATGTTAATGCCTGCACACACGCACGTGTGCACACACACACAAAAGGACACGTACGCACACACTGGCAATAATTAAAACACTTCTGGGCTAGAAGATACCATTGCTGTCAACAACACTGGAAACTGATTTGATTTGATTCAAGAACCTACATCACAGCACTTGGGGCATTCCCACAAGCGCTCCATCCCCATCTTTAGCAGCCAGCGAAGAGTTCTGATACTAATGGTGCTAGTAGCATTCTGATTAAA